ACATATTGTAGCCTAATGGAGGGACGAAATAAAGATCTGAACATAAAGATGATACCCAAGAGTGACTTGCGATTGCCAAACATATTAAGGTGTCTATAGGATAATCACATTTTCAATCCCTAGTGTTTCTTAAAATTGACTCCTCAGACCGATATGTTGATTTCCTTTGATAACTAACTATAAATGAAAATATAGCCTCATGAACCCAATTCTGGAAAAGTGAAATGTTGACCATAACTCGTTCCTTCAAAATGATAAATCTTGCTTGGGGGAAATAAGTTGTAGATGAGAGTGTGTTAACCCAATGAGGATATTACAGGGTGGTCAAAAAAATGGAAACCCTAATACCATTTTCCTCATTTTAAGAAATAACTCCCTGATATTTTGCACTTTTGTACATCATTGAATTTGCTACCAGCCTACATTATTCATGATAGTCACAATGTTACAGTATTTTAAAGAACATGCCCCAGTGGCCACGGGAAACCTGTACTCATCGTCTAAAATGTCCCTACCTGTGGGGATATGGCAGAGATAGAGTATATGAGAATGACCTCAGGACAATTGCAAACCTCAAAAAGAGATCATCCGTGTCATTCAGGCCATACCTGCTGAGGAATGCATTCAGGTCATTGACAACTGTGCTGTTTTGCCTACAGCGTGATGATGGCCAAATCTGAAGCATGTTATTCAAAGTGCTGTAAAATTGTGACCATCAGTCTGATGGTCATGAAATATATTAGGGTGGTAGGAAATTGAATGACGTACAAATATGTGAAATATCAGGGAGTATTTTTTTTAAAGTGACAAAGATATTAGGAAAATGCAGGGTTTCCATTTTTTGACCACCCTGTAGATGATCTAATGTCACTAGATCTTCGAAACAGAAATGGAAAAAACTATTTGCAGTGACTGATTTTTATATACTCTTTTCAGTAAATGTTTGACAAAACACTAGATAACATAATCAGGATGAGGCAGACGATGCGCTTGATTCGTCACTTTTTTAACATCCTTCGAAAAAATATCCATATACACTGGGGAGTATCGTGATGCAACAACACCGTGTTGTTGCATCAAGATGGCAGAGATTTCCGGTGATAGATTTTCGTACGATATGTTGTTTCCCCAATTTAAACCCATTTCTAGGTCGAGTTTCTCAATAACCATACACGTGAAGTTAGCGCACGATCTATATTTAAAGAAACTGCCATTAGTATACATGTAGCATCATCAAGAAGCAAGAAGTTCACGGTTTTAGTTCCTCACTATTGATGCAACAACACCAAACCGAAGATGCAACAACACTCCTCCAGATTTGAGCAATGATGCAACAACACCAATTAATAGTATAATTTCAGAAGACCATAAATCTCGAGAGGAACATATTTTTAAATGCTACTATTGTAACACCGGGCCAGTAACCATTTGCGTAATTCTTCTCAGGCATTCAAAATACACGTCCTGCGGGCGATGATTCTTTATATGTATTTTCAAAAATTTATACTTTTAAATATCATAATGTACTGGAAGTTGTTTTATAACATAGTTCAATCGCCTTTAACATTGCAAGCTATAGTAACCCAATCTATTATCATAAACCCCTGTTCCATAGCTTGATGACCCTGATACCAGTTAGTGTCATTCAAAATGGTCAGAAGTACTCGAAGGCAAAAACCGCTTTTACAAACTGGCTTCTTACGTACTACAGAAGCCGGCTTCTAGAGTCACCAAGAAGCCGGCTTTTAAAAGCCGGCTTCTGAAGGACAACAGAAGCCGGCTTCTGGAGTCAATAAGAAGCCGGCTTTTACAGACTGGCTTCTTACTTACTGACGTACTGCAGAAGATGGCTTTTGAATATAGTTTATATTGTCATATTTTTGCAAAACTATACGGGTAAATTGAATTCTAAGCATGGATATCGATGAATTTGATCACGTTCATCAATTCCAAAAATATTATGCATTGTATTTCTGTTTAATAAAAACGCACCGCTCATTTTTCAAAACTGGCTCCAATTTGGAGCTAGTTTTCAAATCAGCTCGCACCATTAAACACAAGCTATTAACGGACAATCTAGCCACTGGGAATCACGAGATGCTGTCTCCCGATCATTTTGATGTGGATTATGCATCTTATTCTCGTATAATCTGCATGAAAATAAGGAAAAACGGAAAAATATGTAAAATTATAACATAATTCAAGATTTTTTGCAAAAAGTCATTTCAAGTCAAAACTTTAAGAGAAAATTGAAGTCTAAGTAAAAATATCGATGAATTAGATCATGTTCACTAAATCAGAACAGATTATGCATTGCATTTCCGTTTTATAAAAACGCACCGCTCATTTTCAAAACTGGCTCCAACTTGGAGCCAGTTTACAAATCAGCTCGCTCCATCTTATTCTTACACAAGCTATGTAGGGACAATCTAGCAACTGGGAATCACGGGATACTGTCTCACGATCATTTCTATGTGCATTATGCATCTTATTCTCGTATAATTTGCATGAAAATGAGAAAAAACTGAAAATACGTAAAATTGTAACTGTGTATACATGTAGCCAAGAGTGTACTAATAGTGTTAGCCTTTTGCCATCAGAAAGTATTTTAACCCACTTTTGAGATATGGTGTCCAAAAAGTAGGTCAAAATAAAAAATTCTCCAAATTTAACGTTTGAGTTATGAATGAAGAATAGAATTTTCTCAGGAATCAGAATCTGCATGTGGCGTTTTGAAATTTCGAGAAAAATCGATCTGATGGTATCCTGATAGAAAGTCAAGAGTAGCGAAGAAAATGTTGAAAAATCCATTCATCCTTCCATCCATCCTTCCTATCCTCTCCTATCCTACTATTCTATCCTTTCGTTCCTTCTTATTCTATCCTATCCTTCCTATCCTATCCCTTTTATCCCTATCCGTTCCTTCCTATCTATCCTTCATATCCTTTCCTTCCTATCTATCTATCCTTCCTATCCTTTCCTTCCATTCCTTCATATCCTTTCCTTCCTATCTTATCCTTTCTTGCTATTCTATCCTATCTTTCTTCTCTATTCTCTCCTATCGTTCCATCCTATTCTGTCCTATCCCTCCTTCCTATTTCATCCATCCATCCATCCATCTTTTTCTGGATGACTCGGCTTAAAAAAGTCCAGATCTGGAGTCTGAAATTGAACTTGTTCAATTTCCAAAGTCTAGTTATATTAGTTCTTTGTAAACAATTTTCATACGATACGGTAAATCAAGGGGATTTAATTTAGAAAATGAATAATCTTTATTTTTCAGATACAATATCAATGAGGTTGGCTCCCGGGGATTCAATACTTAGCCTATGTATTTAGTTTACCTTGTATATCCTTTTAACTTTGATAACATAAAGACAAATACATTAAGGAACCAAACAAAATACGTTTCATTCATGAACCACGCACTCACGCGTTTTATTCATGTCCCGACCAACACCTATAAACAGAACATAAAACAGTTTCTCTTGATATTCAATGATACATTATATTGGCGTTTTTGCATCAGCACATTGGTGTTGTTGCATCATCGATAATAAACAGAGTGGTGTTGTTGCATCAATAGTGAGGAATTAAAACCGCGAATTTCTCGCTTCTTGATGATGCTACATGCATACTAATGAGAGTTTTTTTAAATATAGATCATGGGCTAACTGCACGTGTATGATTATTGAGCAACTCGTCCTAGAAATGGGTTTAAATTGGGGAAACAAAATATCGTACGAAAATCTATCACCGGAAGTCTGGCCATCTTGATGCAACAACACGGTGTTGTTGCATCACGATACCCCCCAGAGCTGACGAGTTGTAAATTAATCGTATCTATTCATTGACTTTTAATCTTAAATCATCAATTTATGATTCAGTTGTGAACATCTCATTACGTAAGGGTTATCATCGTGTTCTTCTATTGTCTGGCAATCCCCAGTAGCAGTGTTCAGTTTTATTTGGTATTTTTGCATTATTTTTTTGAATTCTATACTTAGGTACCTTAAGATCAGAGTGACCTAAAGTATAACGAACTTTTTTTTCGATAAACTTTTTAATATTGATTGAACGATATAATAAATATGTTCCTGAGTGTACCCAAATGACTGCAGATTTACTCGGAGTATGAACAATTGAAAATATGAAGGAAATGCACCAAAACAAGGAACCTATATATTACACGACGACAACTTTACAATTCTTGATTTCGCTCATTCACAATGTCGTTTCTCTCAAAATTTGATATTGTATATAAAATGAGCTGTTCAAAATATATGCCTATTTGTTTCACAGTTATATAACTAACTATATTTAACTTCATTCACCATTGTGGAAGATCTTGATTTAAAAAATCAATGAGTTGTCGTAATAGGTTTTGAATTAGATAATTGTTTGCACCTTTTTAAGCCCGTTTAAATTGAATCTACAGCAATGGATCAAAATAACTCAATAGAGTTAGCATAGGAAATTGACATGATATAGTTTTACACACAATATCATGTTTTTCTATACTTCTTTTATACAAACCTTAGAACAACGTGCCATTGGTCAGGTGGCCAAAAATAAAACAATAACAACGAGAAGTCTCTTTTTTAAAAAAGTATGTATGCTGGCATTTTTTTATATTTACTTTCACATTACTGGTTAGCTTTGCTCAAGATACAACCATGTAAGTGACTTTGGTTAAGCATAAATGTCGACTTGCGTTGCCTAGAGGCATTTACTCATCACCTTGCCCTTTTGGAATGCGACAAGGTGGTGCGTTTCTACTAGTTTTACGAATCAAAGAAGATCTGGATTTACTCAAAATAATTAAAATGGTCGTTTATAACTGTATTATATCTAATAATAATTTGAACCATAAAAATATGCCATTTTAATTGAAAGTGGAACTGTCGTATGTTTACTCTATGTAAGGGTAACATAGTCTTAGCTGACTAAGTGGTGACAATATGAAAAATAATTAAAACATATATTTCTTAAAACAATCAAACAACTTAAGCAAGTATTCTCAAAATTTGAGCTACTTCATTGTGAAATTCACATCATGGTCCATGATATAAGATTGAATTCATAATGCGGAATCATGCGTGAATTGCTATATAGTAACATATGCAAGTGTAAATAGTCAAACGTTTAACAGAAAGACGTGTAAATGTCATTGCTGTTACAGACGTTTGATACTATATGTACATTTACGTCTTTTTATTTACGGATTTATTAAGGATATAACATAACATATTAATCCAGTAATAGCAGACGTTATATCACAGTGAAATACCATTATGCCTAGAGATTCTCGACCAACCCGCCGTCCAACAAGGGCACGCCGTGAGGAAAAACGACCAGATCTTCCTCAAGTAAGACGTTTTAATAAGTAGGTAAATACTATTCAAAGACCGTATATAGAAGACACCTTAACTCAAGTGATACCAAACATGACTGGTCGAAAAGCTGTATGGAAACAATGTGAAACTTAGCATTGTAGACAAATCATGGTTTCTGGTAATGTAACTATGAAGATGATGATGATATAAGCTAGTTTCATGAAGGATTAAATCCTTCATCCAAGGCTTAAGTTGAAATGATATCAGGATATAAGGGTCTTGAGAAGCCTTGAGACGAATGAAATAGGGCCCTGAGAAGCTATTGGATAAACGGGGTTCGGGGCAGGGCTTCGAGATGGGGTGGGTGGTGTAGGGCCTTTAGAATCTCACAGCTCTGAGATGAGTGTGGTATAGGGTTGAGAAGCTTTGAGATGAGTGGGGTAGGGCCTTTAGAATCTCGGAAATAGTAGGAATAAGGCATCGAAAAGGTCTGAGATGAGTGGGGTATAGACTTGAGAAGCTCTGGGATGAGTGGGGTATAGGCTTGAGAAGCTCTGAGATGAGTGGGGTATAGGCTTGAGAAGCTCTGGGATGAGTGGGGCAGGGCCTTTAGAATCTCGGAAATAGTAGGAATAAGGCATCGAAAAGGTCTGAGATGAGTGGGGTATAGACTTGAGAAGCTCTGGGATGAGTGGGGTATAGGATTGAGAAGCTCTGAGATGAGTGGGGTATAGGCTTGAGAAGCTCTGGGATGAGTGGGGCAGGGCCTTTAGAATCTCGGAAATAGTAGGAATAAGGCATCGAAAAGGTCTGAGATGAGTGTGGTATAGGCTCGAGAAGCTCTGGGATGAGTGGGGTATAGAATTGAGAAGCTCTGGGATGAGTGGGGTATAGGCTTGATAAGCTCTGAGATGAGTGGGGTATAGGCTTGAGAAGCTCTAGGATGAGTGGGGTATTGGCTTGAGAAGCTCTGAGATGAGTGGGGTATTGGCTTGAGAAGCTCTGAGATGAGTGGGGTATAGGCTTGAGAAGCTAGGATGAGTGGGGCATAGGCTTGAGAAGCTCTGAGATGAGTGGGGTATAGGCTTGAGAAGCTCTGAGATGAGTGGGGTAGGGCGTGGATAATCCAATCGAAAAATAACAGCCCGTGGACTCTGGTTTTACCACAATGCAAGATCACATTCATCCAGATGTATGTCAATGAAGCTTTACATTAATCAAAATGAAAATAATTGATAAGTAGCATTGTCATACTTCATGCCAACTAGTAAGCGCTTGTAATACGCAATCTAGAAAGGCGGTTGAAAACTTACTTCATAAAGGTCACTGTGCTTATTGATTCATAACGCATTCATAGCAACATTAAGGAATATGTTTCCGTCTGATTTTTCAATGTCATTGTTTTAATTAATTAACCCCTTGAATTTTCGACAAACCAGAATGTTTAAAAAGACCGTTTGATAACATTTTATCCAATTCAATATCACAGGGAGGGCATAAACTTAAAGTTAAAATAGATCATTTTATTTATTGATGATTTCATTAAGGGGAAGGGGTAGTCTAAAGTATGATGTTCAAGAAAGTGACACACATTTTGAAATCTTGGTATATGAGCGAGGGGGAGTAAGATGTAAAGGGCTCCGATAAGCTTCCCGTAAAGTGATCCGTTTATAATGATTCTGAGAACATTATTCAGATAGTGATTGTTCAAAGAATGCATGTACACGTACAACAGGCAATAGTACAATAACGTCATTTCGAAGTGAAATATATTTTAAATAAATGAAATATATTTTAAATATTGCCCACATAAATGCATTTATTAGTATTATTACCACCGTTAATGCTCAGTGCTGAAATAGCAAGAAAACCTTACGCACTGAACGATATCTAATTTCCCAGGAAAAATTGCCGGTCATTAATTGCATTATTGACCGTCATTATGGACTGCAATTATGACGTCACATATTGCTCAGGTCGATATAGTAAAATGAATGCCTTCTAAACAAGCACTAAAACCCCTAGAAGCTAGAACTGGCCCGGCAAGGTCGTAATAATAGTATTATTACCACAGTTAATGACCAGGACTGAAACAGCAAGAAAATCTTACGCACTGAACGATATGTCATTTCCCGGGGAAAATTGCCGGTCATTAATTGCATTCTTGACCGGCAATATGGCCCACTATGACGTCGATATAGTAGAATGGATGCCTTCTAATTCAGCAATAAAACCCCTAGAACAGGCCCGGCAAGTTGGTAATAATATAAATTCTTGTATTAGAACTGCTTTGTTTCATTAGGTGGATATTTCATATGCCAAGCGGTGTACTATTACGTTATGGTGAAATTCAGCTGTCAATATTTCCTTATTAAGATCCTGAAACTTCACCATGTGAAATTGATTTGTCAAAATAAAAATCTCCCTTTTATAAATGTATGAACCCTTAAAGTATTATTCCGGGATCGGGCGTTTTATACTAAACGGTGAGCAACACCAGAAATGAGCCTTCGATTTGCTAAACGATATGCGTCACCCTTTATCCAGGCCTTTATCATGCACCTTGAAGAATAAAAGGGAACTAACTACATGGGAGTAAATTCAAACTAAACTCTCAATCAGTCCATTCAAGAGGACGTTTACACCAGTTTAAAGCTAGTCGAAACTATGTATTAAACCACCTTGGCAAATCAAAAGATCAAAAGATCTTGTGTTAATAAGCTTTAGCGCTTGTAGAACTTAATGAATGTGCCTTTTATTTAGCGTCCTCGAGATTCTGGTCCTGTCCCAGATGCCAAACTGAAACCACCGCACACAAAACCAACGCGGACTCGAGATGTGGCTGCTGCTGCGAGGAAAAGTAGGCCATCGTCCAAAGATGCCTACAGAAAACAGATGCCAATGCTGTCGGCCATTGCAGCGAGGAGACTAAAAGGTATTCTGTCATGACTCTCTCAAAATACTATCTTCTTTTCCTTTTTTTACAAAGCACCAAGCACCACAGCTAGGTGATATTTGCAGTTATCAGCTTTTCAGATTATTTGAAATTAAAATTGTCATCGTCTGAGTGTTTTGCAAAATAGAATGAATGCAGATCGACCTCAACCTGTCTCAGTCTGTTTCATTAGTTTTTCAATCCTTTCTTGATCTAAAAGATGATAGAAATATCGATTCTAGGTCAACAAAGTAAGCCCAAACGCCAGTTAGGGACGCGAACTGCCTCAGCACGTAAACACAGACGAGATGCTGTCGCCAAACATATGGAGGATGAACACAATAAAGCTCAGAGATACGTCGTCAAGGCAAAGAAAAGGAAGCGCTACAGGTAGAAGTGTATGTTGTTGAGAGAATTGTATGCTTCTTTCAAGATTCCAAATAATAAAAGGCCATGCTCGTTCTCGATTGTTTATTACCAGACATATCGCCCCTGGGATATTATTTGAAATATTTTGAATATTTCTTTATATCGGAAAATCTGGTGAGATTTTGGTGAAGCTGGTCAAATTCATAGGCGATCATAATTTGTTGTTTTTAGGTACGCTGTTCATCATGTACATATTGTAGTCATTTCGCCATCACTCGTATCCTACCTTATAAATATATTTCCCACTGAGTTGGGATTCTCTTTCTCTCATGACTTGTATCGAACACTTCATATTGAAAAAACTGAACTGAAATATACTACACGAATGTAAATTGTAATATGCAAGTGTATGAATGGATGTGTTTTAGATTGATCATGCGTGTTCTAGCCGGACTAACTATTGCAAGTGTCATTGCAACTCTTACTATTACCATATATGCTGGAGGTAAGAAGCCGCTTTTAAGAGGAATTGATCGCCATCATAAGTAGTGTCTCTGATTTTCTTACAAGTATGAAGAATAAAATTGTACAGAAAAACGAAATCTTTGTGAAACGATGAGAACATCTTATTTATATCATGTCTCCTTCCCAATAAGTCCTGTGAATAATGTACACCGTGCCGAAATTCCAAACCCGAGCATATCATCAGAACAAGCTCTAGATCTGACAAATGATTCAATTAACGATAAAATCAATTTTCAAGCCAAATTCTGTCATTCGAAAGAAAATATACAAAGTTGTTCATGATGCAATTCCAACGTATTAGTCAAATTACCAGTGACTGGCAATTGCAAGCATTAGGTGCAGAATGTACACGGATTATCCCATTGATCTTCCTGGCAGACAATTTGATAAAATCCTGGCTACACTTCCGATATCTTTGGGAAATCAGAGTTCTTACTTTGAATCTTTTATAGGCAAAAATTGCGAGTAGCAACAACAGAAGACACAATATAATTAAATAATTAGCACGTGTCTCAAAGCAAAATTTATGTGTGTTCGGTATAATAATAGAACACTTTTTGTTTCTTTTTGAGAGTTTTCATTAAGATGCTAATGAGAAATTGCCCCTTCTATCAATTTGAGCAATTTGGCGATTGACAGTATTATGTTCTAAAGTTAGCTCAAATGTTCAAAATCCTGAACAACGAGTCGTAACCTGTCTCGTCATTGATATATTGCACAAAGCGGGAAATCATTAATTTACTTTTGTATTCTCTTACATCTTTTATTTATTTCTATTTTATGTTAAAATAGTGGTTTCCATTATTGAACCACGTAAACTTTCCTCCATGAGTTTGCTAAAGCAAATTCCTTCATTAGAACAGTTCATTGATTTATTTTGTTATATTCTTACGTCCCATAAGTTTCTTTTATTACAGGTTCGCATATATGCACCATATATCTCAATTATTTAGAGTTTGAAATTACTGATAATGTACAATACACAATGGCATATACATACACAATGGCATATACACAACTACTTTTGTAAAAGTATACGGTTTGCGCGGGCTTCTTGTAATTATTTTGTACTTCTAATGTACATTTACAAAGCAATAAATTAAACTATTTTCAATCCTTATTGTTTTCAGTTTAAACAGCCTGATAAAAATTGATGGTTAAGATTAAAATGGACGTATATTATCATCCCATTGATTACTTTCCCATCTCAATTGTTTTCCGGAGAAGAACTAACAACTATTTTCCTTGTACTTCTATACTCAATCCGGCAAGTAAATACTACGAAGGGGAGAAGTAATCCCAGAGGACCACTATTCTTCTAGTTCATGTACAAGTTCTCATTAACCTCCCTCATATGGCACTGAACCGTGTGTCCAACGGAATTATATACAATTAGTTAGTCGGAGTATACGTATAGCTAGGGGAAGTAATGGCCTAGCTGCAGTGGGCATAAATGACTTAACACTGATTTATGTTCCCATGGGGCTCACATTTTGGTTAAATCTCTAACTAGCTAAAATGACTTATGCTAAAGGTGAATTAAAGATATATTTTTGCTGCATTGTTCCCAAGGACGATTGGCTTCCAGGATCGAAACTCGATATCTTCTAACAATGAAAACGTTGGATTGTCGTTATTTTCTGAAATCAAAACCGACTATGAATCAAATAAAATAAACAGTTCAAAAGATTCGAACCAATATCTCGTTAATTTCTTGCGATTTTTTTGAAATTTTCATTCGGAAATAAGACCGAAATTCACGATTCAAATGTTGAAGTGAACAAAATGGCGGCTGTTTGAATTCGAATTTTGTATCACGACATGCCCAAACATGAGTCAATCCTCCTTGTCTGTCCCTTCCTGTTGTCATGGAAATATTTGTTTATGTTTAAAGTCGGCCTGTTGTCATAGCGATATTTGTAAATGTTGTTATTGTAGTAAAGCACGCCATGGATTCGGCATTAGAGGCAAAGTATGACAAGTCTGCATCAGGGGGATACGAAGAAGTAGATTATGAATATGATTACGATTACGAAGGTAACTATGCTTATTTATTGGATGTCTTAGCACCAGGTTTACCCCTTCTTTATTTTCAACATTTCAAAATGGTCTTTGTTATTGATTGTGGATTAAAACAAGACTACACGGTAAGCCGTCGAGAAACAATCATAGAAACAACAGCTCATATTGAGAAATCATTTCATTCTCGAGAGTAATTTTGAAGCATAATTGATTCAGAACCACTGTGCTAAAAATAAAGTCAGTGCATCTAGGATCATCAGTCAATGATGAAAGTGCTGTGAACCAGAATAAAAAGAGGTTTATCAATGTTACAACTGCGTTTGTAAACGCAGAGAAGTGAAGCTGTGTCGAGACAAGCACTTGGGTGCAACGCGTAATCTAAATTGAATCTAAGAACTCACTCAGTCAATATTAAAGCGCACACGATGAGCTGTTGATAAACAGTAAATAAAGAGCGCGAATTGACGGAGATGGAGTATGTCGGATCACGCTGTTGGATCTTCTTATAAATCATTGTTTCAGATCACTCATTCGTTCAATGATTGCAATTGCGCAAAAAGTGTCGACGTTCGTGCATTTCTGATATTCAATATTTGTATGTTGTGAACTTATGTTCACGTTGTGCTTTACGTTTCATCATTCTTAATGCAGAGCGCAGACGTAACCAGTTGGCATTTATTGGAGAATTCCCTTCTCCAACATTCATTTTAGATTCAGATTCAATTACCGACAATCGGTTATGAATGCCATCACCAATCTTAGAGCCTTTAGTGAACACTTATACCTAAATGTATTAAATTAGTAATGAGTTTAATCTACTGGGTGTCTGAAATGATCTTCCAAGTGTCGACCTGTGTATTTTATCTATAGTCTATAAAGTAATATTTTCTACATAAAACATTTCGAAATCAAACAAAAAATGTGATAAACATGCCAAACACCGTGCGCGTTCATCCAATATTTAAATGTTTATGCCAATGATATAATTACAATTGCACGGGTATTAAGCAGACCTCAACATACATTGAGCATTTATTTGAGGAGCCACGTTGAATATACCGTCGAATTAACTTGCTAAATGCATATAGTCCTGTGCCTTATGTCATGGTACCACCGAGCAAGCTCACGGTATCAAGAGGTCTGGTTATATTATAGTACCTGTAAATTACATTGCAATACTTTTGGATATATATTTATGTACATGTGATTGTATATTATAAAATGCAGTCACTTATCAATCATGCACCTGATGACCAGATGATATCGTATTGCAAATGAAATTGAGAGTTGTCGATATTAATATGGTCTATATATCAGATCAGATAAAATATCATCATATAAGAGAGATTTCGCAACTCACTTATCTCTCTGGTATATTTCGACATCAAAAGTATCAAGTAGGAGCATTATTAACACATTTTGATGCCTTTTGCCCTTTTGATTGAAGATAGCTACACGCCGCCCGTGTTTGATGTTGACACTGACCCCCCTACAGAGCCACCCACCACCACCACTACAACTACGACTACCACAACCCCTATACCAACATCTACAGCATCTACAACCACCACTGATGATCCAAAGTTCAACTTCGGTAAGACATGTTGCCCAAGTCTTAAATGACAGAATGAAAACAAAACAAAATTCTAAATTGATCAATGTAAAACATGTCCTGAGAAATGAAATGATCAACACTTCGACTTACCGAGATACGATACGTGTTACCAAAATGTCGTGCGAAATCTCTATAGCTTTTATTGATTAAATTGCGATTCAATTCAGCATTTCTTCTCTCAATCAATTAAGTATAATCGCATATTGCACACTTCATGCTTCAGTTGGAAAATCTTGCAAACCAAATATGCTGGTTGTTTGGCGTAACTTTTCCAAATAAATTTTGCAATAAATTGATGGTAATGCGGTGTCACTCTGATACCCATCACTTCTCTCTGCCTTCAACTATTTCTAGAAGGAAGCTAGAAGGCAATGATCTCTCATGATGATGCAGTGTGACAAGTTAGTCCACAACGTAGCTGTACTCTTTATATAGACTTATCTTGAACACTTACCTCAACTTATAGTGATTACTTTCAGATGACTTCTGTGAAGACAAACCACGTTTAACAAAATATAAATACAAGTCAGATTGCGACTATTACATCTATTGTGTGTTCAACTTTGGCAACCTGGTCCCATGTCCACCAGGACTCACGTACAATGATGAAACGAAGGAATGCGATGAAAACGAGTGTGAGGAGGGGGAAGAAGGCGAAGGTGAGCTGGCATATACAACAAAGAGGAGAAATAATAGGGCCTTGGGTCATACTGTGTACAGTCCTAAAGAAAATAATAGTAGAGCTAAATTGATTTACTTTTCAGAGTACTAACATGAAATTGCTTAACGAAGGGTATATAAAGCAATTATCTCATCGAACGAAATTTGAGGGATATAGAGAAGCCGTCTGTCCATTCGTCCGCCCGTCTGTGAGTGTTTACGTGTGATGACTGTAATAACGGTTGACGGGGTTGGTTCAAATTTTACAGATATGCTCTTTGGGTTTAGGGCCCTGGATTGACGAATTTTCAATGTGGCCGCTCAATTCAAAATGGCTGCAATTTTTTGTCAAAATGTAATCATTTGATAACTCAAAAATATCAGTTGAGGTTTTAGTTCAAATTTAGTTGATTTGTGGATCAAGATATATTTTCGTTTAAAAGTGATATTCGACGGTTTTAAAAGTGATATTCGAGGGTTTCGATTTTTTCAAAAAATACTTTTTAAATATTTCTTCAAAAAAATTCGTTTTCAAAAAACATTTTTTCAAAAAGTCAAGATATTTCTTTTTTTCGCTTATGATATATCCCATGGGATAAACAATCTTATGGTTTTCAAAATATCAATTATATCCACTCATGCGCTCACTCATGAATATATCAATATCCACTCATGGATATAAATGATATTTTTTCAAAACCATAGGATATTCCTATGCTATCCTTCGGTGTTGGCTTCATCCTCGAAGTTATTTCATGTAAATTACAACTTCCAGAGCGGAAAAAACGATCAGGATGGCTTGAAAGATTAGCATTTGGGCAAGATCGATGGCACGAATTGTGGAAGATGTTTGGAACATAAGCAGATGCTAGAAAACAATGCTACAATACTGTAAATAAATATTACGATGGTCTGGCATATCATCATATCATATCACATATAAAGAATAAACACACATACAAGATGATAGATGACGTAACACTGGCTGTCCAGGTGGAAAGTGAAACTATTTTTCAAAGAATGACATTTATGACCAATAATGCACGTATACCTACATGCAATTTGTATATAAAACACAAGAGCTCATAGTCTTTGCATGTAAATGGTTGTATACGAGCTAGATCTACTGAATACAGACGATGCCATTCATCATTTAATGCCATGAAAAACAAGATCGCATGTATAATTGTACAATAGGGGGATACACTACTTTTGAGACAAAACGACTTGTTTCACCCCAATGGCATATTGGATAATAAATAGTCTCGAGATTAGTTCAGTATACTTCTACCGTAATTGTAATGGTAAATGGATACATTATATTGTAGAAAAGAAATGAATAAATACATACATGATTATTCATATTATAAATCAGTCATCATTTGTTATTCATGTTTATATCCCACATGGGGATTAAATGTCAACTATTGCGATCCGACTCATTTAATGTAATTGTGCAAAAATATGTTAGCAGTCTTTCAGTTTAAGAGAAACAATACGTCAAGGCTGCAAACATGATTTTACAGTGCGATGCATTGAAAATGTAAGTCTATCAAACCTAAAGATAAGCAATCAAAGTACCACAGTGAGTGCAATGATAATTAAATGGTAAAATATATTCATATTTAGATCTAAATCTTTTGTTTTTCACAGATTCTCGTAATTCAAAGTCAGCTATGATAGTTTTATAAAAATCATTTCAGAGAAGCACCAAATTAGAAATGGCAACATATTTGTTATCCAAACACCACAAACAATCTAAGTCTGTTTAAAGCGTTTGCACCTAAAATGTACCGCCACCTTGGATTATCAAGGTATGGAGTTCAAGCGTGTAAGCGAATATATACATTAAGATGATTGAGATAATACGTAAACTATTTAAATATATAGCAAGATGATTGACTGAATACATAAACGGCGCAGTTCAAAGTTTACTATGTTGCGATTGTAACTCATAGAATATGCAATCTATTAAAATAACCTCCTAACGTTGAAAAATAACGACACAAAGAAAATAACAGAGAAAATCTTTGACTGAAATTCGTCGAAAGTTTTCCCGAGCTTGGACCAACATCAGTTCGAATTCTGGGCCTATTTTAGAATCTGCTTCTTAATTCCAATGCAATATCACGTGTTGTCATGAGAGTCACAAATACACAGAGCATATAACATTGGTAAATAACTAATAATCAGTTCGAATTCAGGGTAATTACAATTTGAATGTTAAGAACTATATTTTAAAGAAACTATTAACTTAATTATTGTCATTATGTTATAGCCTCCAGTCTCAGCAGTTAATATGCACATTACTACGCTGCTTGGAGCCTGTTAATCTAAGATAATCACCAATATCTGGCGAATTACTCAAATGATGTGTCTGGGGAAGAAACAATTAACTATTTCTTGTATTCTTTAAAAATGATATATTGTTCAAAATAAGATGTTAATGCTAAATGCAAAGTTAGGTGGATTATAAAATAGGAAAATAAACCACAAATAGACAAAGCAGAATAATAAGTCATTAATACTATAAGTTATAATCTTTTCGAGAAGTTCAATCAAAAATAGTTCCAAGTCGAACAACATAGGACAACATAAGCCAATCCCAAGTGTACGCAGCATTTCTAATACTTCATAAAATTAAGTATAAAAAACCTGTCAAAATTAAGGCTTGCATATATGAGAATATATATAGAAGGCAATTTGCGTATTCAGAAAGAAGAATCATGGAAACATACAGCCAATTGAATACTTTACGAAGCTTATTTTATTGTAAAAATAATGAAGAGATGAAAAAAGAGATGAAAGGAGTGGTATCGATATGGAGAACTTTTTGAACACACGTTTCTCTTAAGCCAGTCATAAGAAAAATCTAAAAATTTAACACATCGTCAATTTAATGGTCATCTTTTGAAAGGTAACAATATAAATTGAAAAAAATATATACTTTCATCTATAGTGTTTTAGAAAACACATCAAACACTTGTTTAGTAAAAAATAAAAGGTTTATCTTGATTTTTATCTATTTTGGGGGATTTTGTTTTAATTTTTTGAATATTTTTTTAAAATCACCCAAAAAATCCTTTGTATAGCTATAATATTGAAAGGTCTAAAAACTTGTTGTATATGGTATTATGTTCCAACAAGGTTCGGAAAGACATTTTATTTCATTCTCAAGAATTGGTAGAAAGGAGCAAAAACAATTGCACTTAAAAAACAAAAATGTTAGCAAAACAGTTATATAAAATATTTCTAAATAATTTTCGCATTGAATTGTTGTCAACATTACATAATATACCGTGTTTTTTTACAGAATGTTTTCAATGATTGGTTTAAGAGAAAAACATCGTTGAATTCATTTCTCCATACCGATACCGATACCAAGCCTTTATTTAAGGTGTTTTCAAATCACTTTTGGATAAATAGATGTCGTATTCGGTCGACATAGACTGTAATTGAAAGTGGTAACATTTCGCCTAGAATGAACTGGGTTTTATTTTTAAGAATAACCAGCTATAACAAAGAGGGGTGCATTATTTTTCTATTGTTTTTTAAAAATGTACACTTGGAAAACTTTTCAAAACCAGTGCGGCACAGGTATCCATATTTAGAACTATATTCCCATATTTTTATGAGTGTTACAACATTTTCTCTAAATGTCGTCCATTCCTTTGCAGACACTCATGAATTCTACACAAAGAATGCCAATCAGTTTTGTATCATAACTTTGTAAATACTTATGATTTTAGCTTGTACTTTCAAGGAAATTAAGTCCATTCTATTAAACACAAATTAATGTAGTTGTCATTGATAAAATCATTATATCTTATTTCTAAAATTTAAAAGGTGGGTGTCATTTTTGTGTTAGATCCAGTTGTGCCAGCAAAGGAATAGACGACACATTTTGTAATGCTCACAAATGTGCATCTAAGTGAGCTAGTCTTCTTCAACCTCTTGTGGGGTTGAAAAATAGAGTGCAGTTTTAATGTGCGAAAAAACAAGTCAGAATTTCTTTAGACAAAAAAGCCACGAAAGCTATGTGGGTGTGTGTCATTTTTGTGTCACGCGGTACAATAATATGAGCAAATGTTTCATTAAATTTATAATATATGCACGGGACAACATGTATGCTTGGTTTGATATGGGAGAATTGGATATAACCTGAATAAAACTGGAACCATTTTGCTCAAGGGCCCTCAACATATCTCGCAAGGCGCTGACGTTAATTTGTATTTTGATAGTTATTAAGACAGTTTCCTTTTTATTACATCAACCATAAGTAACATTGCTCACGTTTACAAAACACATATTTATTATTTACCTATTACACTGTATGGCTTCTGATTTATACAAACATATCACATCATTGTAAAATGCGGTCCTAACAACGGCTAATAAAAAGGACTGTTTGATAGCGGACATTAACAGGACGAAGGTCAGGTAAGTTTTGTCAGGAGTATTATTATATCAAAGGCGAACCATTGCTTATATTATATATGTATATTCTGGCTGGGCGCTAGACAATATAATCATATTGCCTAGAATGGTCAGTTATATTAATACCCAACTTGTGAAGTTAGATAAATGGAAAATAATAATATTTACACGCAACACGAATTGTTATGTTTACTTCACAACAAGCAGATCTAGGGAGTAACACAAATTTTCCCTTATGCCAAATAAGGTGCTTTGTGGGTCGAACGATTGTATCTGTGCATTATGTTAATGTTTGACTGACACATCAGTTTAGGGTTAACCTCAGTGAAACAAGTTTATATCTTAGTTCAACTTACAGGCTGCTTGCAATAGCACTAGTAGCTCACAATAGAACGTTCTGATAATATAATTAAAGTAAATCACTGTACATGCAATTGTATCATAATAATATTGCATATCATTTATGAACAATTAATATATATTTATACACTTATGGACATTTAATATATTTATATCCTTATGGACACTTAATATATTGATATACTTGTGGACATTTAAAAAATTGCCGCCCATTCCCCACTACCTCCCAACAGTTCTATTAATACCAAACTTGTGAAGTTAAATAAATGGAAAATAATAATATTTACACGCAACACGAATTGTTATGTTTACTTCACAACAAGCAGATCTAGGGAGTAACACAAAATAATATATATAATATTACATATTATATGTGATCCGTGAAACTTTTTTAGAATTTTAAAAGTGGCTTTGGAAGCACTTTTTGTTCGAAAATCGCGAATTTATTTTAAACTAAATTTTAGAGGTCACGTATATATTTTAATAGGGGATGATCAAACTCACCCATGCATGAGAGTGGTTCAGAGAAAACTGCAATTTGGTACCGTAATATTTAATACATACAGTAATATATTCTTCTTTTAAACCTGGTTAGACAATCAAGTTTAGCATATTTAAAAAGGATTGACATAAAGATCATTTTGCACCCTAAGACCTGAGGTAACATTACGGTGTCATGAACATTGAACAAAAGTAAATGAATGATAAAAACATATTTTTATACTTTGCACGGGGCCTTTAACACAAAATTAAGAAATCAAATTCTGTTTGTATAACCAATCCCCAAAAGAATTAACGTTTTATATGTTTGCAGATAAAAACAGGCAGATCAAGGAGCATGGAAATCTACTGGATTGCCAAACCTTTTGAGGGGATTGTAAGTATGTAAATATAATATGTTACTTTAGTATGGCAAATCATTTACCTGCTAGTATGTAGAATTTTGCTACGTACGTCTTTAGAAGTACTCCCCTCAAAAGGTTTGGCAAATGAATTCTTATAATTATTAACCTTCCTGTTTTAAAATCGGTTTAACATTTATTCGATATTCATTTAAAAATGAGCTGTTACTTTCAAGGACCAATGATGACTCAATTGTTGGCCTGTCTTATTCTAATATCTTTTTGACTGGCTCGCACATACTTTAATCACATAGCAATGAATTGTTGTAAGCGGTATACCTGCAGTAATATGTGGTTTTATTTAAAGAAAACTGGGAAATGAAAAAACCAGCTGCTATGTTGTTCAATCTTTCCTATCATCCCCTTATTTAATATGATTAAACGTTTATTTTCGGGCAGTTTTTGTTTGATTAAAGATACATTCCCCTCCATAAGTTTGGCAACCTTTGCTCCCCCATTGAACTATGCTATGAGTATCAGAATACCGATTTTCCAAAATTCAACAAATTTATCAACAATTGCCGACCTATTGTAATTGAGGAAAAATTTGGAGGTATTGGAAATAAAGTCAAGTTATGTTTCCATTGATATTATAAGTTATTACATTACACGTTAAGTAAATAAAAATTCAAACGTAAAGAGGCTTTAACACGTAGTTCAATGGGGGAGCTAAGGTTGCCAAACTTATGGAGGGGAGTGTACATATTAGGACATCAACTGATTTGGTTTGGAACATTTTGTGTTCACCTCATTTTTCCTTTCTTTTTTGAAAATAAAAAAAGATGGCGAGAGGAAAAATTCTAAAGTGAATGTGTTTTAAAATGTGACGCAGTTGTGTATTGCTCATCAATACGGCGTTGTACTTATTACTGTCTGACCAACTTATCATCATTATTGCGACAACTTAAGATTCCCTTCAATACAAGCATAGGAAACCTAATGTATTCTCAAAATGATTGCCTTTTATCTTTGTTGTTCAACCCTGGACACCACCAAAAAGTAACACATAAACAGGTGGATTTCCTCGTTTTGGAGATAAATACCACACGCGTCTATCTGTGTTTGGAGTTATGATTGTCTTGTAAGGGTGGCCATTGCTGTCAATCATCGTGATACCAGGAGCAATATTGTTGTTGTGATTACAATGGAGTCAAACATTCACCTAACAATGCAACTGCAGACCTACTAAAATGATACATTACATGCCATGAGAATAAAAATATACAATCAGACATTGAGAATTTATAGATATTCACATATAGTTTGATATACTTGGATTTAGATGGAACTAATTTAGTTCTGGTTAAAAATACACGGAACACCAAAGGATGATGTTTTGGCTTTGAGGAATCAAAAGTGGATATAAAAGTAAAAGTACATTTGAGCGTAATACGAATTTTAAGTAAATTCATTCAAACATGTTTCTCTTTAACCCGAAACCCAGGAAGCCTGTGGATATAAATCCCGAGCCAAGAGAGGGGCGGACTGATATGGAAGAGATCGATGAAATTTATGTCAAGCGGAGGGATCTTCCAGTTTGGGGCAAACAGAAAAAAGTTCCATTTCCGTATGCACCTGAGGATCTCAAAGCGCACCATCATCACCACCATCATTCTGATTATGACAAACAGGTAACTGATATCAAACATATTCGTTTAGAGCACGTTCTAGGCCTATTGTTTTAAACAAAATTTAATGATTGAGAGTAGGCATCTTGATTCACTAGGTTTCAGATGATTCAACTTCATAACACCTTCAAACCCCTTACCAAGCATTATTTGTTATCCTTATGCCAAGCATTCTTCTAATTTGTAATTCCAAGCATTCCTTTAGCATTCCTCTTCAGTAGAAATGCCAAACATTCTTCTAATTTGCAATTCCAAGCATCCCTTTAGCATTCCTCTTCAGTAGAAATGCCAAGTATTCTTTTGATTTGTAATTCCAAGCATTCCTTTAGCATTCCTCTTCAGTAGAAATGCCAATCATTCTTCTAATTTGCAATTCCAAGCATTCCTTTAGCATTCCTAGCAATGCCAAGCATTCTTCTGATTTGTAATTCCAAGCATTCTTTTAGCATTCCTCTTCAGTAGAAATGCCAAGCATTCTTCTAATTTGTAATTCCAAGCATTCCTTTAGCATTCCTCTTCAGTAGAAATGCCAAGCATTCTTCTGATTTGTAATTCCAAGCATTCCTTTAGCATTCCTCTTCAGTAGAAATGCCAAGCATTCTTCTATTTTATTGAAACCAAAATAGTCTTCTATCTTATCAATCATTCTTTCTTTGTGTTACATCAAGAATTATTTAGCTTTGTAATGCAAAGCTTTCGAATTCCTCCAAGCTTTCTTCTATTTTGAAATGAAGGATAAGAGTAGAAGGATATAGATCTTCAGATGTTAATGTAAAGATATATTGTTCAAATACAATGACAAATGCATTAAGATTAGGTAAAATGAGCTATAAACTACTTGTGAGTAATGAATTCTGAAGGTCAAATATCAAATTTCGTGGTAATAAGTTATAATTGTTGTGTATGTGATGCAGATAAACAAGGTATAATAACTTTGAGTGTAGGTATAGGTGTACTTAGTATAATAGTACAGACGATGTGAATGTAATTAGTTAAGATGCACAAAGTATAAACGATATGGATGTAGGTACAGATGCACAATCTGTGTATGTAGGTGTACATGGTATAATAGTACAGACGATGTGAATGTAAGTATAGATGCGCAAAGTATAAACGATATGGATGTAGGTACAGATGCACAATCTGTGTATGTAGGTGTACATGGTATAATAGTACAGACGATGTGAATGTAAGTATAGATGCGCAAAGTATAAACGATATGGATGTAGGTACAGATGCACAATCTGTGTATGTAGGTGTACACGGTATAATAGTACAGACGATGTGAATGTAAGTATAGATGCGCAAAGTATAAACGGTGTGGATGTAGGTACAGATGCACAATCTGTGTATGTAGGTGTACATGATATAATAGTACAGACGATGTGAATATTAGTTAAGATGCACAAAGTATAAACTACGTGGATGTAGGTACGGCACTGGAACACAATTTGTGTATGTAGGTGAACAAGGTACAATAGTGAAGATGCACAAGGTATAAAATATGTGAATTTAGGGATAGATACACAAAGTATAATAACAGAGATGCACACGGTATAGTATGCTACTAGTTGTAAGTACAAATGAACATGGTATAATAGTAAAGATGTGCCCTGGTGGGTTATGATAGCAAACTCAAGGTATAACTAGAATTTAAAGATTGCAAGCATATGATAGCTGTTTAACTGGGTACACATGCACAAAGTATAATAACAGAGATGCACAAGGTACAGTATGCTACTAGTTGTGGATGTAAGTACAAATTAACATGGTATAATAGTAAAGACATTACTGATGCATAAGGTATAATTCATAGATGTGAATGCAAGTACAGGTGCTCAAGGTATGATATCTGTTAAACTTGGTACACGTGTATAAGGTATAATAGCTGTGAATGTAGGTACATATGTACAAGGTAAAAAAGCTGTGTACAAGATAAAACAGCTGTGAGTATGGGTACCGATGTGTACGTTATAATAGCTGAGAATGTAGGTAACGATGCATAGCTGTTTGTCTGGGTCCAAATGTACATGGCAGTTGTGAGTGAAGATTCAGATGTACAATGCAAATAGATACACTAGGTGCACATGCTATAAGTGGAGATACATGTACACAAAGTGTACAAGCTGTAGATTTAGATACAGATGCACAAGGTAAGTTATTGCAATATGTGCTCATGATAATAATGTAGATACAAATGCACAGGGTATACTAGCTGTTTTAGGTACAGATGCACAAGGTTTATACTCACTGTTAATGTAGGCAATGATGCATAAGGTGAACAAACTATTAATGTATGTACAGATGCATAAGGTAAATAAATGCACTAGGTGCACGAGGTTTACTAGCTGTAATTTTAGGTACAGATGTACAAGGTGTACTAGCTGTTAATGTAACAATTTAATGCAAAAGTTATATTGGCTGTGAATAAAGGTACAGATACACAAGATGTACTTGCTGTTGATGAAGATAAAAATGCACAAGGTATACTAGCTGTTAATGTGGGAACAGGTACACACAGTATACTGGTTGTTATTGTAGGCACATGTTCACAAGGTATACAAGATGTTAATACAGGCACAGGTGCACAAGGTATACTCGCTGTCAATGTTGATACAGTTTACACATGGAATACTAAATATTAATATAGGTACAGGGCTACACGATATACCATCCACTAATCTAGGTAAAGATTCACAAAGTATAATAACTGTTAAGGTGCAGTGGTACTTAACAGGAAATGACAAAACAGGACGTGACAAAAATGTGGCATTTTTAGACATTTTTGTACAAAGATAACAGAGTTCTGTTTTGACCTCCAGTCAATTGAAATAGTTCCACATATCATTTACAGGACAAGGATCACAATGTACATGGTCAGACTGACCCTAAACATGATGAAATAACTTTTTCAGCCCTCTGAAAATGTGACTGGAAAATAGCTAAAAGTAAAAGCTTGGGAAAGGTCACTGAACAGAATATTTTGAATTTTTCTGAAAATGTGCCCAATATATTACTCTTAATAATACAATGTTTGAAAATGTGATATCATTCGTAGAAAAAGAAAAAAATGAAAAAACTATATTGAAAGGCGATCTATCTTCCTTTTTGTGACCGCCATTTTTGTTTCAGACAATTTTCTAAAATTTTGAAGATTGTATCAGTTAGAGCAAAATATTGGGTACATTTTCTAAAAAATTCAAAATATTCTGTTCAGTGACCTTCTGTTCAGTCACATTTTCAGCGGGCTGAAAAAGTTATTTCATCATGTTCAGGGTCATTCTGACCATGGACATTGTGATCCTGGTCCTGTAAATGATATGTGGAACTATTTGAATTGACTGGAGGTCAAAACAGAACTCTGTTATCTTTCTTCAAAAAATGTCTAAAAATACCACATTTTTGTCACTTCCTGTTTTGTCATTTCCTGTTAAGTACCACTGCATCTTAATGTGGGTACAGCGAGACAAGTTCAAGGTGTATATTAGGTGTTAATGCAGGTATATGGAAAAGGTATACTAGGTTTAGTGTAGGTACACTCATTATGAATAAATACTTAAAGATACACGTCAGAACATCCTTGTAGCAAGGGTAAATACGATCGAGTATAAGCATAAATGAAGCCCTTTGACGAAGGATGACCTCAGAAGTATTCGACTGTCAAGTCGGGTTGTTGTTCAACAGGGAGTGTTCATGTCACAAGGGTGACTGTAGGAAAAACGGGGTTTCTAGGGATAAATGCAGTAAAGTGGATCTATTGCCAACCTAGTTCGAATTATACAGTCGCAAGGATGCCAATGTTATCGGCTGATTTTAATAATTATGGACAACGCTATGAGTATAACATCTACGTAAATTACATTTTTACTTTTTCTGCTCATTGACGCCCATTGTATTTTTAGCTCAATAACTAGCAAATTTATTTGTTTCCAAATTCAAGGAAAGAGTGCATATCAACCCGTAATATTTAATATAAGAGACTCTGAGTGGGGCATTTCTATCTTTAGATGAAGCAATATACTTAACAAGTCACTAACTTCAGAATCCACTGAACGTTATTTCGATTTGAAGTTTCGAGACAGTTCATTTACATACTGATAATCCATCAAAGGTGTTATTTCAAACTTTGCACGAGGTACACAATTCTTAAAAACTGAAGTGTGATCAAAACAGCATTGTAAAATGTGTTCCATGTAACTGTATTGTAATTGCTTTAACATATTTTTCTCTGAAATAAAAAGTAAGTAAAAAAGTTTAGGAAACAACACCTGCTTGGAATCAGTCATAATGCGTTGAATCTTGGGCTTAAATTCTTTCCACACATATATTATACAATATCATCTAAAAGCTTCGAAATGACTCAAAAGAATAGATTTTCAAGGATCATGGGAATGTCATGTACTGTCAATTTAATATGCTGATTTATATATTACAGTTGTTGAAGAGGTTCCTGAACCTACCAGTTGAAGAGCCAAAGAAACAAGACGAGGAGGAGGAGGAAGATGACATAACTGAATTCACAGAAGACATTGAAATTGAACAAGAACCAGAGCGTATAAACAGGACTGAACCACTGGAACAAAGTGATAAAGTAAATTTGAACTCGAATGAACAATAAACTGTGATCAATATTGCAATTATTAATATAGTTATACAAATGTTGATTCCCTTTACTGTTATATTTCAGTATGGAAAGACTCGACCAAGGTCGAAGCCGGATGGTTCAGACATGGGTAAAGCTTTATCCAGGTACGATCCGTATGGTAGATCCCAGGGTGAACCACAGCCCCCTACAATGTCTGAACTAGACTTCTATTTGAAAGTAAGAAATGGGCGTAACGCAGTTCTTTAATTTAAAGTGTGCTAGACTTGCTATTGATATTTAGAGGGAAAAGAAGATTGGTAATAAAGAAAGTGAAAATTGTACATCCACACAAATTGTACAAGTAAGCCTAATGCGAATCATTAGAAAACCTTAGAGAAAACTGGAAATTGTGGATTGTATAGGTTGTGTTGTTGTATGCAGTGGTCCATGAGACTGATCGAAAATGTAAACTAAAAAACATACGCAGCAATTATTGATTGTAGACAATACTGAGCACCCAGGGGGCAACTAAACACAAATGCGCAAGTCGTTGCAAATTATTTCAAAAAATAATTCTTCAAACGCTTTTCAGGAATTACAAAGTGAGGAGAAAAAACAGAACTGTATCAAACTCCCAGTTATTAATAAAAGGATCGAATGGAAGACATTTACCTTCAGCGTGACGTGTGTATTTGTTTTATTAATGTGTATATTAGGCTTCTCTGCATATATGGGTGGTGAGTATAGGGTTTGCATAATGGTTGACCGACATATTCCAAATGTAAATCCCATCATTCCACGCGCGTGTAAAATGTGTTTCATCGCTTAATAAAATAATGGCAAAATCCCCAAATCATGATCAAATCAGACATTACAAAAAACAGAGAAAAGCGTTTTTTCCCAATGTTCGTATAATCAGAGTTCTTACAGTGAAGGAGTTGCAGTTAAAAAAGCTCGAAACAGCTCTGTTCAAAGCGGTCTACAAACCCGAGGAAGATGCCAACAAAGCAAAATGGTTACCTCCTAAAAGGCCAAAGCCTGAATTGAAAAGCACTGCACCACCCACAACCAAGGCGTGTAAGTACACAATAACTGATCAGTGATCATGTTATCGATTAAGCTACAAGGGCGTTCGAGATGCGCAGCATCGAGTGTTTATTTTAGGAAACAACGCCTGAAAGGAATGGCCATTCTACTTAAAAGATATAAAATCACTAAATAACATATTTTCCATGAACTTTTTGCGAGGATCAAGTTGACAACGCATCAAGTTCAATCTGTAGAGTCAAGTTGTCAACCACATAAGGAGTGACCTTGGATGCGGTGATTGGTGATATAATGCATTGCAGTATGAAATATTGTGTTCGGATTGGCTGGAATCGGACACACCTTGCCTAGCTATGTGTGAATCTGTCGATATTAATAATACATTTCAAATACACTAAATACAATTCATGTATCATGTATGTTTTAGATGAATGGTTGGAACCTGGTGAAATATCAAAGAAGAAAAAAGAAAAGAAAGGAGGTGTACATGCTTTTGGTACATAAACATTTAGTGTCTTATAAATAGATGGGTTTATGATATTTCCCTTGGGAAAAGTCCTCCGAAACACCCCAGTTCCTTAATTACCGTTAAAACGCGATGACAGGAAGAACATGTGTCACTGGTATCAACTCAAACAAAGAAGAATCAACCGTATTTCGATATTGACATTGCAATCCTTTGTCTATAAAAACATAACATTTGAATATAAAAAAAACTTTTAATAACGTGTTTCTGACCACTGTTAAGGCAGAGCATTACTATAACTTCCTTAATGACAGATTTGTAAGGCGTGATCATAATAGGCAATAATGCCTTTTTGACCACGGTCAAAGCAAAATAAAATCTCCTATATGTTATGAGCATAGATTTGTAAGACGTGCTTTACAGGTGATTTCACAGAGATTGTTCTACGAGTGAAGAACTGGAGGTTCAACCCAGCACTCGCAGACAGAACATCTAGAGGATTCACTGGACTATCGGTCAACTTTTGTAAAAAGGTATTTAACAATCTGTATAATGATATATTGATAGTACTGCAGAGCGCAGAAAGCAGCATGTATTTCACATTTATTGTTCAAGTTACAAGAATTATATATATGATTGTAATAAAATAACTATAATATTTACAATAACAAATATGATTCTAAACACATCTTGACTTTTGGTTCTGACTACGCCAATGTATAATATACGTGTACCTGATAAAGTAGCAATGTTTACACATCAAGACATGCAGCTGATGGCCTTGACCTTTGACATGAATGAAAAAGATGGACCTCAGTTATAATTATCATATTATTCATTATTTTTTATATTTCTCCCAATTATGTAGAAATACAGGTGCATACAATACCAGATCTAGATAAAATGATAAGTTGATTAACACTCCTTGGTAACTCATGCGGATTCTAAGATCCGATCATTAATGGTATTAATAAAAATGATAACGTTACGCTTAATAACCTTCACATGACATTCCTTAAACATTCAAAATGGGTACACTCTTTCAGATCAACACCATCTACACAGGTGCTGGGATAGGCGACCTCGTTGAGGATTGCTGGGTCATACTATTTTCGTGAGTCCAAAATATATTCATATTTGATGATAACATCTCTTTGGATGGGCATCCGCATAGCTTATTTAAATAATTGACTTGAACGGCATTATTGTACATATTCAACCCTCTACCAATATTTCATATTAGACTTGCTATTTAGTTCCTATACCAAGCGCTTACATGCAAGGTTGTTTCTAAATGCAAGATATGAATATACGTCGATTTCACTTCCAGTTTATAATTTCAGAGAGGGGAGCATAGTTGTAACATTCGGCATTCAGTTCACTAAACAAATTCACTTTTCCCAGTTGATGACTCCTTTACGAGAATCGGCGTTGAAGGAAGGCGGCGTCCTTTACGACCTAAAGGTAATGTTTAGGCCCAGTAGATGTATGTAGTCAAATCATGGGCATTGAATATCTCTTGAAAGCTCATGGTCAATTCGATCCACTGTTTCTCTTCATGGAAAGGTATTTTCTAAATGTGCACATAACAATAGTGATAGGCCTCAGTGAGGACCACAGTGCGCTACATGTATACCAATTGAAAGTTCTTCTTTTCAATTCCTCAATATTGTAGAGGATATTTTCTCAATCACACTTGAGAGATATTTACGTTATCTATTCTTAATTTGTCATTTCTTTTCACATTTCTTTAAAAGATGGCTGTTGTGTTGAGATTATTTCACGAAACCATTCTATAGTATTCTGTATTATAGGTTTCACCAAAGGAAATCACAGTGCTGAGTCTCTTTGACTCTGTGGATACAACCACTACATCAACCACAACCACAACATCAACAACCACTACAGTATCAACTCCAACTGGTAAGAAATAACATTATGTAAGATTATCGACCCAGTTTCACCCAGGTGCAGAGACATAAGGGATAATATTCAAATCAACTATAATGGCATATACGGCATGCGCACCTGTAGCATTCATTTATGTTTGTTGAGAGAGTGAAGTGAATGATGTACTATTCTAGTATGTCGGATCAACACTAGTTTACTGATTAGCCCTGAAAATTATCCAAAAGAAATGAAGCTACAGTTATCACGGGGTGCCATCGAATAATTTTGGCAACGTACCGGAGAACGACATTTTACTAAGAAATGGCAATAATTTAGCACAATATATTTTTAACTAGAGTTCTATTTTGATTTTGACAAAAGTAAGTATTCCATGCAATAACTATTTCATTCATGAGTTTGTAGGAATTCTGTTGGAACCCAGTTCTGATCAAGTACGAAGTTATTGAAATCGGCGCAGACGGACTTTACTCCGTAAGATGGTTTTTCGATTATAACTTTTCACAACATTTAAGTATAGACTTTTGAAAAAAGTACAGAATAGTCCTTATACTTTTGAATAATTCTGTTATTTCTGATTCACACGACTCTGATTTGTTTAATTAAAAAAAAGTTTTAAAAATATTACTTAGGAACGTAACCGGAGCTGGGAACGTAACCGGAGCAGATCAGTTGAATTATTTAATCAAAAAAATTAAAATGTATGATTTGATCCATGTCATTTTAACAGGTCCCTTCATTACTTTACACCAGTGTTTCAAATATTTAATTACAATGTTTTCAATTCTTTTGTATACTTTCTACTTTATCTTCCTTTATTTAAAGCAATTTTTAGCTTTTCATGGTGTGATTGTTTCGTACTGTTTTTGTATTCTATATAATAGCATTCACTCACATGTAGCTGAGTTTGGGTGTTGGCCCAGCCTCAGTAGTTGCTTAGAGTTAGATGATAATGTAGATTGTACAGAGAACGTTTGAAGTTTATTTGAAATAGACTATTTTAAATATTTTAACTTTAGTTATCTGTTACTTTTATTTGCCACCCACGGGCCTTACACTCGCCCCGTTACAGATTTAAAGCACATATACTAATTTAAAAACATACGGGATTGTTCGAATGCGTATTTATTACATTTTATTTAAAGAAAAAAATGTATCCATTGTGAAAAATTAAATTTGGTATTTACCATGCATAAGTGCACTTACCTTAGAAAGGCTATCAAACATAGAACAATCATTGTATGGAGAATGAAGTGATTAAATGTAGTAAGCAAATAATTCCATTTGATTTCACCCATTGTATTTGTTCAGCGAACTATTAGAACCCACTCTGTTATACTAATTTCTAATTAATTTCTAATTTATACTAATTGCCATGCATTGATTTTCCTGTAAGTGAAGGGTAATAAATGCTCATTTTAACATTCATATGTGTTTGTAAATAATATATATGCTTTAAATCATATATTGTATTTTTTTAAATTATATAATTCAACTGATCTGCTCCGGTTACGTTCCCGGCTCCGGTTACGTTCCTAAGTAATATTTTTAAAACCTTTTTTTAATTAAACAAATCGGAGTCGTGTGAATCAGAAATAAAAGAATTATTCAATAGTATAAGGACTATTCTGTACTTTTTTCAAAAGTCTATACTTAAATGTTGTAAAAAGTTATAATCGAAAAACCATCTTTCGGAGTAAAGTCCGACTGCGCCGATTTCAATAACTTTGTACTTGATCAGAACTGGGTTCCAACAGAATTCCTACAAACTCATGAATGAAATAGCCATTGCATGGAATACTTACTTTTGTCAAAATCAAAGTAGAACTCGAGTTAAAAAATATATTGTGCTAAATTATTGCCATTTCTTAGTAAAATGTCGTTCTCCGGTACGTTGCCAAAATTATTCGATGGCACCCCGTGGTTATGGTCTCAGAAAATCACGTAATTGAGAACCTCTATGTTTAGGACGAATCACAAGAAAGAATAATGCAACGCTTGCACAATGACATGCATTTCGCACCTCATACCATACCCTTTGTTTACTTCATCATAGAGGATGGCGATGCAGAGGAAGGTGAAAGTGAAGAACATGAAGACATTGATCCAAACAAAGAGAGAATACCAGCTAAAGTCGAGGAGAAAGAAGAAGAAAAAAAGAAAAAAGAAGAGACAACTTCCAGTCAAGACAGATATGTGCCTAAAATGGGCAAAGGTGTGCGAGAAGGGGCATTGAAGGATGCGAGCGTGTCAGCTGAGGTCAAGGACCCCACGCCGTCTATCGGTAACATTACGCATTACTAGTTTACTATGTCTGAGACTTTGTTTTTCAAATGTCAGGATTTAGGGACAAAAGCTAAATGTGATATGAAAAGAGTCCATATAGAATAAATGTATATCTTTACAGATGATTACTTCTGCTATGATCTGTCTGATGGCATTTATGCAGACCCCAGCAACTGTTCCAGTTTTGTGTTGTGTGCTAACCAGAAGACCTCGTTGATGTCGTGTGGAAAGGGATCTCTATTCTTTAATGTTAAAAGCGGAAGTTGTGACAGTCCGGTGTGTAAGCCAGAGAGCGACATGTATACTTCGAGTACGTGTAAAGTTTACGTTTTACATAATTTCGAAATAAACTCAACAACAATATCTCAAGTCACATCCAATGCTATCACGTCCTACCAACAATCTAACCACTAATAAATCACCAATAGTGAATATAAAGTACGGGCAGTCTAGCCATCATTACAAACCATTGCTTCTCAAGCATTTCCATTTGGATTTAGATTAATGTAAATCACGTTTCACATCTTGTTGACATGCGGATAGTAAAAGCAAAAAACGGTTGACATTTTTTTCAATAAATCTCGTCCAATAATATTATTTCAGTTTACAAGGAGTGCATGAAGACTTTAGATACTGTTATACCATACAAGGGGGACTGTGATCTCTATGTACAATGTTTCAACCGGAAGGCCATACTTCTGGGCTGCCCCGAGGGACAGAAGTGGGACCACACAGAAAAGAAGTGTAAATGGGCCGCATTCGCCTTCTGTGGGAAAGATGGCGAGAAAAAACTTGGTAATTCATTTTAGCTATCAGAAAAGCACAACAAAAAAGTGAATCCATGTTACATTAAGCGCATTCGTGTCTCACGACAAATTTTACTTCATATGTGAAATTACCCGCGTAGTCAAAATTGTTCTTCAAAATCATGTAGACGCATATTTTATTATCGTGGAAAACGTGGTGGAAAATTCGCAGCTATATTTTAATTTGAGATCGTTGTCATGATATATTTCAGATCCTGGCTCGTGTAAGGGGCGAGATGATGGTTTCTACCCCCACCAAGAAGACTGCAAACAATATTTTCAATGCGCAGCTTCTAAACGATACAACTGGACTTGCGAGGACGCGGAAGATGGAGGAGATATGGTATTTTAAGCATGTTTTCTTGAATCATTATTTTAAAACTCCAGTCAGTCCCGCTCTCATTTTCTGCAACTGTCCCCAATTCACAGCTCACATGTGTTGCATTGGCTTGCATCAATATGCGATCTTAAGGTCGCTCGACCCCAATCTTTTTCACATCCTAGTTGAGTATAGGTATGTGTTAGAGGAGCAGGATAACTAGGGGTTAAAGCATGAATACTACAATACCCTCAGTTAATGTGATATAAAACTAGCTTTTTTCATATAGGTGTTTGACCCACGTACAGGGAATTGTAATCTGAGGAAAAAGGTTGAACCATGCTACGAGGACAAAGATAAACCAAGTAAGTATATGCCTTACCTTGTGTTTATCAACTGAATCAAGCATAGGGAAAGTCACAGTACGAATATCATATCTGTGATCCCATAAACATGTTTAATTATGATATAAAAATCTGGATTGGGAACTTAAAAATGCAATGGATACTAATTGACGATGAGAAGGTGTAAATCATTACCCAAATCAATCCTCATCTGTTTGTCTCATTTCTCAGCTATATTTTTTAAAATGTAGGTTTCTGTGAAATTCAAAAAGATGGATTCTACGAGCATCGGAAGTGTGTGAAGATGATCCGCTGCTACAAGAACGAACGCTTCGATGTAGACTGTCCAGAGAAACTTGTATACAATCCGCTTACCAAAAAGTGTGACACCATGGACAATTATGAGTGTATCGGGGATACACCAGGTAGACATTTGAACCCCTGCGCTGGACAGAAGGACGGATATTACGAACACCACGCCAAGTGCGATAAGTTCATACGCTGTCGGTCGGGTGTAGCGAGTACCCTGACTTGTGTGTTTCCTTTTATATTCGATCCCAACAAAAAACGATGTGGGTCTAAAGACGACTACGACTGTCCCAATGATCCAAATGCTTTCAATGCTGACGCGTATTGCAACGGTCTTCCAAATGGACTTTACAAACATCCCCTTGACTGTAATAAGTTCGTGAGATGTAACCGTGAGTCAACTAACAGGGCTCTGTTCTGCCCTTCACACGAGTTCCATTTTAATGCTGATATCGCTAGATGTGTTGCCAAGGATTCCTTCGAATGTAACCTCGACGAAGAGGAAGACCAAAATCCAGTGCAAAAGTTCTGCGAAGACAAGGGCAATGGTCTCTACGTTCACCCAGAGAGCTGCCATAGAATAATTCGATGTACTCATGGAAACGCCAACGTCATGTTTTGTCCGACCCACAAACTTGTCTATGACCCCGCTAGAAGACGTTGTGTACCAAAAAATTCATATAATTGCACTATTGATTCAACAAAGGACCAAACAGAAGAAGAGTATACACTAGCGCGTGGCTAGATTACTTATCAAATAAAGCAAGACATTTGAAAAATATAACAGGCTATGACTTGCACACGTAAACTATAAAATTGACAGCAATAATATTAATATCAAACAATTGATCTGCTCTGTACGATCGGATTTATCACAGCAACAGTACCTGATAGCTTTTTAAATTCAGTGAAGTAACTCTGAAAAGGTCGAACAAATAAAGTGCCTCGTTTTCATTTTGACCTATGACCAATATTCGTGTTTTGTATGTTATCACAATTAGATTCATCTTTAATCGGTGTACTGTATTCTTGTTGAGGGACTACGATGCCCATGTCAAGCTGCGCGCCTACTAGGCACGCAGTTTGAAACTCTGACAAACTGCGCGCATATTTCAAAATTTAAGACGGGGAGAACACGACTCCCAAAAAGAGCCAGAATACGACAAATACAAGGTTAGTCTCGTTCTAAAGATAGTACCATTCTGTGAAGATGAACTTAATTTACTCATAGTACTCAATGTTGTTCCCGATGTAAGCCTAGTTATTTCGATATAAGGGTCTTTAATAAGTAAATTCTGTGTTCAAAATTTACAGTGTAAAGTTATATCTATGTCTTTTTCTCGTCATTTGCCGTTTATTCAGCCATTGTGTCTGTGTATGCTAGAATATATAGGATCACTCCATCTGATTAAAGCAGCATAGTCTGTGTTCAAAACGATATACGTCATAAACGTGATTTAAACATATTTCGTGTCAAACTGCGCGCCTATATTCACATGTATTTCCCAAACGGCGTGCCTAATATTTCCAAACTGCTTGCCTATCCAAGCTTGTTTTGTATTATTAGAAAACGTAAGCGCCATATGTAAGGCACATATGTATCTAATAGTAGAACCCCACAATTGAAATACTATGTGAGTTCATCCACCAAGATGATGATCTGGAAATAAAAGTTTTTTCGTTCCCCACTTAATTGTTACTTCTATTATACATTTTGACTTTCAATATAAAAATCTCATAAAATCTGACGATAGCAAAATGTCCAAAGCTATATGAAAAACACCTACACACCTCCCTCTGTAGAAATTCCAATGATAATATGTAGTTTTGATAGTATGTGCGCAGTTTGTAATTTCCTGGCTAAAATAGGCGATTATCTGTTTTATCTCGAAATATTTTGAATTATACATGATAAATACGTAAGGAATTAAATATAAAACGAGTCTGAAGTATTTATCATTTATGTTTAAAGTGCTAGATCAATTTACGTATAAATTCCTGTTAAATCAGTGACGAAAATGCCATTAATCTGCTTATGTTTTAAAACTTAGATCCATTTGTACATAGTTTTTGCTAGTATTTGCAAGATTCGTATATTCGCCACAGAATGAACGCATTAAACAAGAAAACAATGCAGGATAAATGTCTTAAAATTACGTTTCAAAATTCAGACGCCAACTTGAATGATGCAATGTTGTTAGGCACGCAGTTTGTGATCGAAACAAACTGCGCGCCTAAGTAGGCGCGCAGCTTGACATGGGCATCGTGGACTAGGTTGACATACTTAATTGGGTTTCAGGTTTTCCAAACCATACATCGGTTTCTTTATGCATAACGTCTGCTTAGAGGCAGAAGGGGCTATGTGCAATATTTGAAAATCAGATATTTGCACCAAATGAAGTGGATATATCATATTTACATAGAGTTGTTATATCTAAGTAATTGAATAATCAATAAAAAACTATTTTGTAAATCAAAAAGCCATATGTTCTGATTCATATTGGGTTCCAAAGTTTGTCAATGCATTTTCTCTACATCAGGATAAATGCACATAGACCGTTTTGCCTCTAAGCAGGCGATAAGCTCATTAGACGTACCCATCGCACCCCCTGCATAGACAAATATTTATAATAAAGTAACAATATCTCTCTTTAACATTTTCAGAAAGCCAAAACATTGTTAAGAACATGATTAACAGGTAAATCGTTCATCGAACAGTCCTCGTATTTTACTCTGCTTCATTTCGATATGAATAACACAAAATTGATTGTTACAAATTTACAATAAGGAAATGGGTAGAACATAGCAAACATGCTGTCAGACAGAACGTGAGGCTACTTCACCTGTCATTTAAAGGTATTTCCACAACTGATATGAAAAATCACACTGACGCTGTCAATCAGCTTAGTATAATGCTGTTGGTCAGCTTGGCTACTACGCATTGACCTCTTGCTCAGGAAAAACAAAAAGATTTACAGATTTTGAAAGTGTTGTATGACATGCTGTCGGTCAGCTTGGCTACCATGCCTTGACATTCTGCTATGAGAAAATTACAGAATTTGATATTGATATTGTGTATTGCTTTGAGCAACAATTAGAAGAAGTAGATTTGTTGTCTGGAATGAGATGAATAGTTGCATGACCTTGAGACTGATAATAAACTGTCATATTCGCCCACTAGGCCATTACTTATTGAAAATTAATTGATTTGTTCTGTTGTATGACATAATGTTTGAATAAAACCTGGAGGTTAGTTTAATGTAGCTTTAGATTCTTGTTTACCTGTAGAAATATCGAAATAAACACACGTCCTTCACTTGTAACTCTACTGGAGTCTGTATTCCTTTTAAAAGTGGTCACCTGGTAGTGCAATTACATCGCCAATCTAGCCAATATTCCATTGCTTTTTTTATATGCCAAAAGGTGGCAGGTGTAAAGTATACCATCTAACAATTATTGAAATGTTTTTGAAATACACCAATACATTCCAGCCATATTTTCTGCAACTGCTGTCTTACAAATAAAGTATAGCTCCGAATCCATTTTCATAAAGTAAGAACACAAGTTTGGACTTCTTTGATTTGCCTAATAGTAATATCCAGGATGGATCATATGAACTATCGTGGGTATGACAGAAAAATGAATTCCTAGTAAAACTGTCTCTCTCCTTCAGCAACACATCATCACTCCTCCTGTGTTTAAGTGAGACATGCATGTCAGACTAAGTTGATTATGTGGCTTTATTAATTAAATTAGCGGCCGAAATCAAACTTTGTGCTACTCCTCAACAGAATAGAGAACAAGGAATTAACAAAACGTCACCGACCACAGACCCCGAACATCGACCACGGAACGCCGTCCAGAAAAAGTTGGAGACTATAACGTTAGTTAGTCAGCTAAATATTTATTATGCTGTAAACTATACAATGAATACAATTTAAAATATAACATGTTTGCACTAAAATTGAGTTATATATTATAAAACAAACATTATGTCACACACCATCATGACAAAATAAACATTCCCCAGGTTTTGCCATCGGAAGAAATGTAACTACTGTATAGTACAGGCCGGGAATTTAATTTTATGACAGGAACTAATGGTTTGTTAGGTATTGAATGCCCCCAAGCCTCGTGAAACACAATGTATAATTGACCTAAACAACTACATGATACTAGTAAAGAAAGGCTTCTGTGTTAAAAAACTGATTTTGTCGGAGGATATCTAGAATCATGCGGGAAAAACGGAGTAGCAAATCTCGGGTAGGTAATGCAAATGTGTAAACGATCAAAATCAGGTTAATGTCGTTGTTAAAAGTCTGCAGTGTTTTATGTATTGCTGTATTGTTCCTTGCGTCTCCTTTAAATTAGTAAATATACTTGGAATATCAAATGTTCTTTTACGTCATTTATGGTACACATTGAGCAAGATTTGAAAAACGCAAATACACATCCAGCCAGCTCCACATAGTAGGTGGAGATATAGCCCCATAAAGTTTAATTTGTTACGATAAAGCTCATCTTGCATTTTCACTATAAACAAAACATTTTAAATTGCAGGATATGCGGAAGGATATACTAAGAACTGAAAAGAAAATACGGCGCAAAAAGGAACAAGAACGTTTGGATATGAAATCGCGGCAACCTAAAATGACTTATCCTCAAATGATGCCAAATATGGCGTTTAATAACATCCCACCAATTGTTCAAAATAAAAACGAACCTCAGACTAAAGGTTCCTCGGATATGAAATTAAATTGGAAGCAGATTACGTTTATAGTTGTCTGCGTTGCCATACTTATTATCTGCATAGTAGGTGTCGCTGGATACATGGGAGGTATGGATTACTTCCGGTTCATTCTTGATAGTTTGATGACTTTTGGATTATATGAATACCTTCTTGATTTATTGGGGCTCAGTGCCTATTTCGAATCCTAAAATAGTATTGAAAAAATCAGAATGAAAGGTCACTTGCAAACTTAATAAACTTAAAACCCCTATTTTCTATCATATATTAATCTCTAATATTAGAGATAGAGAAATTGCTCACATGGTTAGTAAATTAATAGTATTTAAGAAATTATAAGAGATACATTCACCTCTTATAATGTACATGTGTACATATCATGTCGCTTACTCTGTGAGCCTTTCTATCAATGAATGTAACTTTGTACCAAGGTCTATTGATGGTGAAAATTGCAAACTGTTATGAAAGAAACATTAGTAGATGGGGAAGTGAATTTAAAGTCACAGTCCCTTTAACGAACAGATAGGCAAAACCTATCTATACCTTTATAGCAAAGTATTACTCTATCTCAAGTCAACATTTTAAGAGTCATCATTTTACAAAACTAAAGCTAAAAAAGTTTAAATTAAATGTTAATCTCAGAAAGCATATCCAAATACCATGTACTCACATTCCAAGAAGCAAAACAAAAAGTTGAATGAAGCAATTTGAGAGATGATTGAACATGTTATATAAATGTATAACTTTGTACCACATTTTAGTAAAGGAAATGCAGTTTTCACAACTGCAAGGGGCTTTGTTTAGAGAGGTAAAGCAACCGGACGAAACGCCTCCTCCCAAAAAACCGAAACCAAAATTGAGAAAAACAACAACAACGACGCCGATACCGGATAACGGTATGTTGATTTACCACAGTCACAGTCTTCACAGAGGTTTTTCAATTTTTGTAAAATTCAAAACAAAACCTTTGAAAATTTATTTTAGCTTGCTTATGCCACGATCGCACCCTGACTGCAAACCGAATTTTTTTGTGATTGCACCCCCTGACTGAAAGCTGGCTACGTCCCTGTTATGTATATTATGAACTTGATCATCTTCAATCCAACATTTTTAGAAGATTGGTTGATAGTTAATGAGACGGCAGATGAAGAACGAGAAAGGAAAGGCGGTATACAACCAACCGGTAGGTTGAAGCTACAAGATATTAAGCAAACCAAATATGATGTTTAACATAATTGCAGATTTATTAAGTAAAATAAATTTAGTTAGAAACATGAGCAAGTCAGCGAGATAAAAGATAATATACAATTAATCTGTTATCAATCGTGTGTTATTTTGTTACCTAGGTGATTTTACCGAGATTGCCTTGCGATTACGCCAAATGCGATTTAATCCCGCATTTCGCAATCCAGAATCAAGAGGTTTCAAACAGCTCTCAAACAATTTCTGCAGTAAGGTAAGCAGTGAGTTATTGTCTAAATCATCCCTCCTTTCGCCTAAGTTTCCAAGGGATGCGTTTTTTGGTAAGAGAAACGTCTACTTTTTGACGAACAATGACTTGCGACCAAATCGGAATTTTCGACGGTACGAAAAACAGGCCCCCGAGTCTCATTTGGGTGGTTTTAACAACTATTCCCCTCCCCAGAGTGTTGTATAGACAAGTATACTTTTCCCCGCTACCTTACATATATGGATTATTTCCATACGCCGGTGGAAAGGGCTGCACAATGAATTCAATTTGATTCAAGTCTTTGTAAATGTCACTCTTGGAGCCGGGGTCTATTTATACATGTATTTAAGCTCATTTTTTATCAATCTCCAACTATGCTTTATCAAGTAAAATTATTTTAGAAATGTAGTAGTAGCAGTGTTTATTCAGATTATTTTATTTTATAAGATTGGAGATGTATACGCATCCGCGGGTATTGGCCAGGATATCAGAAAATGCTGGGTGATCACCTTACAGTAAGCAACATTACAATTCATATTCCCATTCTTACGTCAAATTGATTCATTAGTACATATTCTAGCTGTATGCGCATTTTGAAATGATACAATGCATCTAAAGATGATTCAGGTAAAATGAAAGATTATATGTATTATGTTTGATGGGATTTGTTATGCATAAACATTGATTTTGTCTGGTATTGTGTCAAAAGCACTGTAACCAGTAACTGTAATCACAAAACCTGTGATGATTAAATCAATTTCATTTAGTTAATAATGAAGCCACGTGTCTCTCCTTTCCAATGATATGTCATTTGTTCATATCTGATCATGGACCACTGAAATATCATTGTTTTGTCGTACATGGGGGAAAGGCCTTTGTGCCAAGTTATGAAATATCAATCAACTGATCATTATTGAGCAATCATTATGTAATTGGTACTGGGGATTAAATTTTTGTCACAAGTTTTACATAACACACGTTTCTGATTTAGATTTACTAAGAAAAAAATCGAAAGAAAATTTAACTTTAAGTGTTTATCAGTATCCTTGTTGGTTCAGTTAACGAAACCTATGGAAAAAGTGGCATAAACAGTCGTTGTCTGTCATCTTATAAAAGATTACTCTTGAAAGATTATATTCCATGCCTTTTCACATGACCACTATTATTTTACACACTGAGACTGGCCTGTGTGTCCATGTCGCACACCTCTTTGAATCAACTTGGATTCTGGCAGAGAGCAGCAACCTCATTGGTGACTCCTTGTTAATTGTTGCAATGTCTAAAACTTGGTCCAGAGCAGATTTTGGCCCGTTGTGCAAAAGGAATGATCAGTGGTCTGTTGTCTTATATGAATAATTGACATACCATTGGAAAGAGGAGACATTTGGCTTCCTGGTAAACTAAATCAAATTGATATAATCGTCACTGGTGTTGTGATTTTACAATGTCTTTGTTTGTTGCGTATTTATGGGACGCACTGTAGTAATTCATCAATCGTTGTATGTATTCCGAATATATGTTACATTCCAGAGAGGGGAGTGTTATTGTTACATTTGGTCTTGAATTCAATCGTCAGATCCACTTCAAACAGCTGATGGTTCCACTGAAACAGGCAGCAGCACGTAAAGGTGGGCTCTTTAGATCAAATCGGCTTTCGAAAACAGAGTTTATCATCTTGATTCTCAAGGTTTCAGTTGCTCCAACTTCTGTACGTGTTATAACCATCTTAGACGTGGAATATTGGGGTTTATTCCAGGTGCAATACAGGTGTTTAGTATGAGAGCATATAACTATTTAGCTAGAGTAAGGTAGAATACGGGCTAGAATACATCTTGTCTTAAAACAGTTTTTAAAAAATGAACGTGATGAGACGCTATTGCAAACTTTCATAATCAAATGAAGTAATGTATACTAATGGTTACGTGGATTTTTATGATCAAAGTGAACCTGCATTCTTAACCTGGGACATGATTTCAAAATAATATACACGAGCCAGTATCTAAAGTTGTTAAAAGTGTAATGGCACAAATTGTAGGTGGAGTACTAAACAAGCTGAAGGTTTTCCCCAATGAAATCATAATACTGAGTCTGTATGACGACCCTGATATAGCACCACCCACCATCGCTACACAACCAACTACTACTACAACAGGTACAGCGTCTCTTGAGATTGCAATAGGAAAAGTCCATGTCCATTTATAAAACTGACATATAATAATGATTTGACATAAGTATCATTTTGGATCCATGAGGTTTGCGCTATTTTTAAATAGTAGAGTCATTAAATAAAAATAATAGAAAGAGGGTCATAATGTTCGTTCTTAACCTCTCGATTGTTCCTCAGAGATGCCGACGGAGAGCACAACGGAGATGACAACGGTCCCCAATACAACAACAATTCCTCCCACTACAACACCTGAGCCAACTACAACAACAACCAGACCACCTGATCCACCACTCCCTCTATTGGGCCAGGGGCTTCGACTCACTGCTCAGAAGAATCTCAGTCGCTCTGGGGCACCTCTAAGTCCTATTCCGGACACTGGTAATTCAGGAATACAATGCTAAAGAAGGAAACACACACATTTCATCAAAACTCATGTCCACCCTAAATAAGTTATTTGAACTATGGAAAACAAATCCCCCAAACTGTAGCACTTGCTGATTACTATTAAGTATTGTAATACAGCCAGTGAATAATCAAGATAATTTTATAAATCATTTTCCAGATTCAAGTTTTTGTGAAGATCTTATGGATGGCTTGTATACGAATCCGAGCAACTGCAGTAAGTTTGTGGTATGTAGAGGTGGAAATGGGACTATCCTATCATGTCCTGATGATGCCAAGAACTTCAATCCACTCACTGGCGAATGTGATAAAGAAGAGTGCATACCAAGCAGAAAGGCTTATAGAAAAAGTGAGTTGTGTCTGAGACTAACATAATGTTAATCTCAGGTTGTGTTGATTCAGTTGTGTGCTCAGATGATGAATTATTTGATTTCCAAACTTGTACGGGAAGTGTAAAGACATCTTAATTCAAGGTTCTTATCATGATTCCGTTGTAGTATACTACGACTGTTTGAAGACTTTGGAGAGAATCTATCCTTTCAAGGAAATGTGTGAACTTTACGTACAATGCTACAATAGGAGGGCAATCCTATTGAAATGCCCGGATGGACAAAGGTACGACAGAACTGATTCAAAATGTAAATGGGCAGAATATGCGTTCTGCGGAAAAGCAGGGGAAAAGAAAAAAGGTAACGCATTTATGTAGTTCTAGGAGAATACTCAAAACATTATATTCCCTAATCACTGTGCATAGGGAAGACCCAAATTAGTTCAAGAAAACCTAACTACATGTAAACATCACTCCCTTAACATTAACATTGCGCTTAAAGAAAGCCCAAATTAGTTTTGCAGGAAATCAAAAAAGATGTTCGTTTAATTGTTCAATACAATTTACACATTTAGGAAGGGTGTAAATTTACAATAATTATTGAATGTCAATGCTGCACTATTTAGAGAGCGGGTTGTGCAAAGGTGTGGATGACGGCTTCTACCCACACGAGAGCGACTGCAACCAATACTTCCAGTGCTCACTGGGGAACAGGTACAACTTCACCTGCGATGATGCTGAGGATGGCGGTGACATGGTAATGATTAATGATACGTTATTTCATATTCATAGAGAATAGCCCGCATTCATCGAAAGATGACCAACTAAAGGGCTTTTGTTTTAGTTATTCCATAATAGTTCAATGGGGTTCAGCGGGGTAGGATCAATAATATCTTTGAGTGCTATTGTTTTTAGGTATTCGACCCTGTCGCCAAAGGTTGTAGATTACGAAGAGAAGTCCCTGCTTGCTTTGAGGAGAAAGACAGAGCATGTGAGTAACAAACAGAAAACAAGGAATGAACCTGCAAAATTTGTCACCGCCTGTCATTTGTTACAGACATCGACCGCCGAACACCAACCTTCGAACGCCGAACACCGTCCTCAAAAAGGTTGGAGACTACACCAATATGTCACACTTTTGGTTGTGACATAAAAACACTGACAAGTAGCAGAACTATGTACAATTAAACCGTCACACATTTACATGATTCGAAAAGGCCGAACCAGAAAACTGAATACTTTTTATTTTATTGAAATCGTCTTCCAAATATTGTATGGCTTTATTATGCTTTTCGGTCAGTTCAATTCTATGTTTTTATTCTGTTTTTTGTTTCTTTGTAAATGCAGCATTTTGTGATGACAAACCAAACGGATTTTATGAACACAGGCGATGTGATTCAATGATCAGATGTTATAAGAATGAACGCTTTGACGTGGAGTGTCCAGAAGACATGGTATACAACCCACTCATACGCAAATGCGATAGTTTGAAAAACTATGAGTGTATCGGTGATCAACCTGGCAAGCACATCAACCCATGCACGGGGATTGAAAAGAAATTCCTACCAAAACCTGGAAGTTGTAAAAAATTCATAAGATGTCGCGCTGGTATCGCTTCCACCCTAACCTGTGTTTTTCCAATGATATTCTTACCAGGCAGGGCGCGGTGTGGCCCAGCCTCAGAGTACGACTGTCCTCACGACCCGAACGCCTTCCATGCGGACGAGTACTGCGCTGGTCTTCCGGATGGCTTGTACAAACATCCGCTGGATTGTAATAAATTCGTAAGATGCCATAAGGGCTCAACGAACCGGGCCTTGTTTTGTCCAAATGGTGAGTACCATTTCGACGCAGATTTAGGACGTTGCATTATAACAGAGGAGTTTGAGTGTAATCTCGAAGATACTGAAGTTGAAGAGAGTCCAGTAAAGAAATTCTGCGAGGATAAACCGAATGGTCTTTATGTTCACCCAGAGAGTTGTCACAGAATCATACGATGTGCTGCTGGCAACACAGGAATCATGTTCTGCCCATCGCATAAGCTCGTCTTCAATCCAGGAAAGAAAAAGTGCGTTCCAAAAGGAAAGTACAATTGTACGATTGATTCAGGGGCAGATGCCTCAGAGGAGGCATTTCTAATTGCAAAGGGATAATAATTTATTATGTAGATGAACCATCGTAATTTAAGAGACATCAACCCTTCGAAAGATGTGAGACGTGTAATATTATGAAGGGACTTTGAAAAACAGGACAATATTTTGCGAATGTAATTACTCATAAGACTCAGATTCAATGTAAAGGATTTAATCAACCATCTAGTAAATCTAGGTGAATAACCAAAGGATTCGAAGGGGCCAACTGTTGACCTTGTTAGCATCGAAACATTGAAATTGCCTTAATTTTTTATTGCCTTTATCAACAATGTTCATGTTTTTAACACTACCTCAATGTGATTTTGTAAGACTTATTCAATAATTTGCTTTGCCAAATTATTATTCAAAACCGTAACTATTTTAATTGATTGACGACTTTGATGCTTAAGCAGTTGATTTGATAAGCCCATCGTTATATTTGTAATTATGTATATCATCATATTTATATATCATGTAAATAGTGCGTTGCAAAATTGTAAAGACAAACTGGACAAAATAAAATATTAGATAAAAGAGGATGAATTTTTTTGTCAAAATACAGGTAGCAGGGTGCATCTCAAAACATTGTTTTTGAGGTGTTACCGAGTGGAAATGTTCATTATATTACTGGCATCATTTAGAATAATTTACACTTGTCTTATTATCTAGGGAATATCTAAATACAAGTATATCGGGTGTCCCAAAGAAGGGAATTGCTTTTTGACAAGTATTTTCTCACCAATTGATGCATCAAATTTATTGAAAATTCTCATAAAGTAGCCGTATGGTAACATTAGCAAATTGAAAAAATACAAAAGAGATCAATTACATATCATACCAAAGTAATGACAAATTCAAAAATTTATGTAAACGAATCCAAGTCATTTTTGAACATTCTTTGAACGATCTGGATTTTTCTCGCTTGTTTTTTTAAAAGGACAATTAATTTTTGAATAAAATCTGATCAAAGTTTACATTATATGAAAACTTGATAAAACTGAATGTGACCATACTATAATAATAAGTCAAAATGGTGCTTACTTTCCACGAGGCCTCCAACGATATTAAGAGATGCCATAATAAGACAAATTAAACATGCGAGTTTTTGCATTTTCACCCTAAACTTATATTCATTTATTGATGAACAACTCGATTTAGAATACATGTACTAGTAGTCTAATTTGTACATGAGAGATTGCATGTTCTAAACATCCTCTCTAACCAGTCACTCTGTCTATCATTGCCTTGACGATTTGTACGTGGTGTCCTCGTTTTGTCTCTGCAATATAAATGGCGATACACATAATAATATAATGTATATACAGGGTGGGCCAAAAAACGCCACTTTTTTCAAGACACTATAACTTTTTTATTTTCCAACCTACATACCCCAAATTTTGCAGTTATATAGTGCCAAGGGTTCTTAGTCATAATATAATTTAAGAAGTTCTTCAACTGGGATTATATTTGATCTAAAAAGAGGAGTTCAATTGGTCCGCCACCCCATTTGATGATAGATTTTAGTTTTAGTCGCCTTGCTGATATAGCAGTATCAATGAAATGTTAGCTATATTTTTTTCAATGTGTCTTAATTGCCAGCTTTAGTTGAGCAATTTTTTAGATCGGGTGCCTTCATACCATCTCCTGGAGACCTCCCCATGCCCTATACTCACTTGGGCTTGAATTAGGGCTATTAGCTTGCGGTCATCAGGGCGTATCAGTTTAGGAACATTATGCAAATTATGCTTATTTCTCATGGCACACCACATGTTTAAGTGAGACGCTGGTGACATATTTTATTCAAGTAAAAGTGTATAATTCATGATCAATGGCTAGATAACAACCTCAAGTTTCATTTGGTATGTGAATTATGATTTTGTATCAAAAATTAAAAAAGTTATAGCATTTTGAAAAAAGTGGCGTTTTTTTGGCCCACCCTGTATATGTAACTTAAATAAAAAAGCAGGTTGGTATATCCCAAATTGGAGATGACATTGTTATACTGGGAAAATAATAGGGTGGCAAGATATGAGGTTAATGATTATTTTGATCTAATGAAGCTCTAATGTGGAAACGAAGGTTCCCTATTATATTTTAAAATGGCCACTTAAAGAATATACTGTATGATAGGCTCCAATTTGCAAACGTTCTTTTGAGTTTAATGATGGCAGTCCTTGAATTTTTTAAAACTTACGGTAATCGGCACTGTCCAGTCCATTCCAATCCCAACAGCCTCCAGGGTTATCGTCTGTTGGTTCAATCTGGGGGTGGAGTATAATGATATTGTTCAATTCTCCAACCTCATTATAGCCAGTGTTTCTAGCATACTCATCGTCATCTATGATCCACCCTTGTCTGAAATCCAAAATCAGGTTCAATTGTTGTCACTGCATCCAGGTTTACAATGCATTTTAGAGTTAAGCAGATCTACAAGAATGACATCTGAAGCCATTTGGGCTCCCAATGCTGCAAGGGTCAAAACCAGCAATAGTCTACAAGACAAATATCATGTTTACATTCGATATGTAATGCAGAATGCAGATGTGTTCAGTATGAGACATGCAGCAATGGAAGATTTGTGAATTGTGAAAAATTATTGAGAATTGAAAAAGTTTTGAGGAAAAGGGGAGGGAAGACTTGGTTTGTCTCGACTCTCATGCAATGAAAAAACATTTTTCTTCTCCAGCCAGGCACATTGTGGAATAATAAAGTCAAGATCCATTTCGTAATTAACGACTCACCTTCCTTGGAAACAGCCGTGGAAGTTAACGTGTAGTCTGCATGCTGCAATGAAAAAGATGCACAACACGCATGACTTGATTGCATGGTCGTGTTCGGATACGATTGTGTTTTGTACTAATATTTTGATTCATATAATTGATTTATTTATACCAAAGGGACTGATCGATATTTCAAACCACTTGATATTAGTTTCAGAACTTGTGTTAAACCTTGAAGCATATGTGAAAATTAAAGAAAGGAACTAAATTGAAATGTATATATAATATATATGTATCTTAGTTCAATTTTGCTTCAATGACTTTCAATTGACGGGCATGGGCGTCGTCTGAACTTTGTTAACCCTCTGTTTACGGGTCTGAGTCAAAACTATCTTGATTCCTGATTTCAAGCATATCAAGGAGAATGTTGGTAAGATCATGATTCATAGGGTTTGTCAATGTAATATATAACTGAATAAATAAGGAATACTATATATTTACGGGTGGCACTGTTCTGGCAGCCAATTGGGACATAGATGTACCCGATGGGGTCAAACGCAGCAGTGTTACTAACAGCGTTTCTGAACTCATGTTGGTCGAAGGAAATAAACTACAAAATGAAAAACATTATTTTGGGTTCGAGTTATGCCACTGGTGTACATGTTGACGAATACATCACGAATTTAACTATCGACTGACTGGTGATGATTTCAAAAGTATTATTTATTATCATCAATCATATTACTGTATAAAAAGTCACGTAATCACTGTTAGTTAAATGTTTTTTTATATCCATTATTTATTTCTTACACTATGAACTGTTAGCTAACTAGCGATTTGATCGCTATTTGAACTTCCAATGACGTGTTTAAGGCTCAGCTGGAAAGTAACATTTTGGTAAAACATTGCTATACCTGCACATATTTTTGGTACAAAATTAAGTATGAAGGCATGAGTGTATTTCCTTGCTTTTTTCAGGAACGTATCATTACAGATTACACTGTCTACTTTTAGTAGCTCCTGTGTTGTCTGGAAACTTTGAAAGAAAATTGTGAAATGAAATGAAAAGTGTGAAATATCAGAATTTCCTGGAGTTCCCATTGAACTCCTACCAGATATTCTAAATGAAGACAATGTTATACTTTCCTGAAAAAAGCAAGGAAATTGACATATGCCTTCATACTTTATTTTGTACCAGAAAATACCATGTGCAGGTATAGCAATTTTTTAGCAAAACGTTATTTTCCAGCTTCACCTTAATTTATGCATATTACCAATGATTATGTTACCGTCAGCCTGCAGTTGATACTAGCGAATGCTAGCTAATTCAAAAATACATAATGCTTACTACCTAATACTAGTCTCCAGCTGAAGGTCAATTACGAAATAATTAAGATATAGATTAAATGATTACTTGACCGGGCGTCGGTGTGTTCGGGTCAGGTGCTTGAAGGTTCCCGCCATAAATGTGGTTCAATGCATTGTAAGCGCCCCAATACTGACATCTGTTGATACCTTCATACATAACCACAGAAATATTCATTTTATATCATAGTTTATATCATGTTGTGTTTATATTACAATTACAAGTTCATCATTTTGGATGCAAAAAGTTTTTCTTTTTGTATAATTACCTGGAATAAACGTAGCGTCACAGTCAGTTCCGTAGTCCCAAGTTGGCTAAAAGCAAAACATATATACATACGCAGGTATAACACACCATGTTGAGCAATACATACACAAATATAACTCACCCTATAAGGCAATATATACACCAATATAACACACTCGGATAACACACCATGATGAGCAATGCGTACTCAAATATAACTCACCCTATAAGGCAATACCTACACAAATACAACACAACCTATAAAGCAATATATACACAAATATAACGCAACCTATAAGGCAATATATACACAAATATAACACACTATGTTGAGCAATACATACACCAATATTACATACCATGTTGAGCAATACATACACAAATATAACTCAACCTATAAGGCAATATATACACCAATACAGCACACCCAGATTACACACCATGATGAGCAATACATACTCAAACATAACTCACCCTATAAGGCAATACCTACACAAATACAACACAACCTATAAGGCAATATATACACAAATATAACACAACCTATAAGGCAATATATACACAAATATAACATACCATGTGGAGCAATACATACACCAATATAGCATACCATGTTGAGCAATACATACACAAATATAACTCACCCTATAAGGCAATATATTCACAAATATAACACAACCTGTGAGTAATACCAACACACACATGACACATTGTTGAGCAATACATACACAAATATAACTCACCCTATAAGGCAATACCTACACAAATACAACACAACCTATGGCAATATATACACAAATATAACACACTATGTTGAGCAATACATACACCAATATAACATACCATGTTGAGCAATACATACACAGATATAACTCACCCTATAAGGCAATATATTCACAAATATAACACAAACTCTGAGTAATACCAACACAGACATGACACATATATAACACAACCTTTAGGCAGGTTGCATACACAAAATATAACACAAACATTTGGCAGGTTATATGTACAGGTATATACACCAATTTAACAAAATCGATTGGGCCAATTCGAATTTGAGAAATTCCACAAGTCCATGGACCTATATGAACATCATAAATGTTCGGTTTTAAGTAAGAAATAAAAACAATTTCTTCTGTCAAAAGTAAAACATATTCTTCGTCCTCGGCCAGGCCAGTGCATTTTCATGAAATGACAGATAACTAACATTCATGTATTCTAACTCAAAGGTTCAGGTAGGTTATCGCAAACCATTTCACACGGCTATATCTTGGATAAAAACTATTTTCTGACCATGAAGAGAAATATATTTTTTAGATCCATCCATTTGATTCAAAGAAAAGTATATACAATGATAATAAAGTAAATCGGTCTTTGAGATATTTAGCTAACAATCAACCATCAACATACTTTTTCAAAGATGTTGACGTCATCTTCACCAAACTGCAATCATTTTTAGAATATTTAATGCGCTGCTATTCTTTGATTTGAGGTATCAACTAGTTCATGAAAACGGAATTCCTCTAAGATTAGTGTTCCCCATTGAGAAAACTCAGTGGTTCCAGCTCATTTTTATCATCCAAATTCAGTATATTTAAAGTTCCTGGAGGAATCCAATTTTCTTTTTAGGAAATAAAATAAACATGTCTTAAAGCAAGTTTTAATGATGTATTCAATATTGTATTAAAAGGTTGCATTTTTGTGAAAATTGGGTCAACATTGAAAAAGTTGATTGGTCGATTGCCGCGTAAAATCACCTAGTCTGATTAAATTATATACTTTTCTTTGAGATATGAATGGGTTTTAAATATACTTCATGATCAGGAAATATTCATAATTCAAGTTAGAATCGTCTGGAATTGTTTGCGATAACCTACCTGCTCCTTTGTTTTATATTAATATAGCTAAGCCACAGCTCTGCTTCTGCCTTCAATCCAACCCTTATAATTGTGTATGTTACTCACGAAGCCATGACCCGCCTGAATGTCAAATTCACCGATGACATCAGCATTAAATCGTTGGTAGTATTCTACGATCTTCCTGCCGGCACCTGTAGTACACGAATACCATATTTGTGTTTGTTTTGAAACATTCATATTGTATAAATCACAATCAAACGATCACTTTTCGCAGAATAGGTCATCGGGTATATTAATATTTGAACATGTCATATTCTTTGAGTCTTAATAAACAGTTGGATTAGGAATTGTTGTAGAATTGATCACGGAACAGATAAAGGAAGAAAAATTGCGATTGAATTTCTCAACTGAAAAATTGACAATCCTTGATTTCGAGTAAAATGGATGGTTATTTAGTAATATGAAATATTGATGCTGAATGTAGTAGAAGTTCGATGCTGTCCATCCGTACGGCAATGAAATATTCAGCCTTTTAGTTTAACATTATTTTACGCGATTGTATATTTGGGTTATTTCTTGTTGTTTATATGTTACAAGGGGTAACTTACCGGCCTCTACAAAGAAGTCATGTGGGCCATGGAAGACAAACACCTTGGATTGTGCTAGATTTGACACGGGGTCAATATCTCCATTAGCAGCAAAGTTGTTCGTGTCTGTCACCAAGGTGTCGATGTTTATCACATCCGGGTCTTGGGAACAATCGCCTCCATGATGCGTCATGCAGTTATAAGGCACTAAGGAAACACAACCGGATTTAATTGATGATCTAGGGGTCATTAATAGAAATGTTTTTGCAAAGAATATTCATGTATCCATTATTGTTACCATGGAAATCGTAATAAATCGTCATTTTAGGAATCCTCACAAATATGCATACCAAGGGACAAACAAGATTTCACGAAATCCTCCAAAACGATCTCGACAATATTTTTAAATGGTCCCAAACTTGGAAAATGAATTCCAAGCCTTCGAAATCAAAAGAAATAATCTTTTGTAAAGAAAACGTCTATGGAAAGCCATATCCACTTTTGAAAACAAAAAACAATTCAATAGACCGAGTCGATTCACATAAACATTTAGGCGTAACTCTCGATAAAAACTTGAACTTTAAAACTCATATAAACGAAGTCCGAGCAAAAATTGACAAACTACTAAATCCCCTGTCAGCATTGAAAATGAGAGTTAATTCAAAACATCTTGAAACAATGTATACTTCTTTTATCCTCTCTAAAATTGAATACGGCTCTTTAATCTATGGTTCTGGGTTGCAAGTTGCTCTGGAACAACTTGCCAAACTCCATTATCACTGGTACTCACCTAGTTACGCTGACGATACGTCAGCGTAACAAGATGGAAGAACTTCCGGGCTTCGTTTTCGGTAAGATATTTTTATTTCTCGATTCTTCACCACTTATAAGTCAAGTTGTGGACAATAATTTGGCTCAAAGTTAAGGAAGATAGTCTAGTTTGAGAATGTTTATGGCTGACGATCTTCATGAATATTGTCGTCAACGTAATAAAAGCGAGGGACTAAATATGTGAATTGCGTCTTCGTTAATATACCAAACATAGAACCGCCTGCATATTCTCAAACAAGACTATAATCTCCCTTAACTTTGAGCCAAATTAATGTCCACAACTTGACTTATAAGTGGTGAAGAATCGGGAAATAAAACCATCTTACCGAAAACGAAGCCCGGAAGTTCTTCCATCTTGTTACGCTGACGTATCGTCATATATAAATTATTACATAAATATATGAAAAACTGTCAAATTCAAGTGCCGAAAGGGAGCTCCGCTCCAGAATAGAATATGCAAATTTTACTTTTTTCATCAGTTTTTATTATCACCTATTCAGGAATGTAAAGTATAAAAGATATATTTGACATGTAGAACCGTATTCAAAATGACTTACCTCCCGAGAATGGGGCAGCGCCCATGATAGACGCTGAATGTACCACATGGAACTGTGTTGTAAAGCCACCTCCGCTGGACAAACCAGAGACAGAGATCTGGCTCTTGTCGACGTTATATTGGCCTGGAATTAACTATTTCTTATATAATTATATTCAGTACATTGCGTCTTATCTGATATTGCACACGTTGATCGCTTCAACACGTTAATCATCCATTTATTTTTTGGCATATTGAATTTGGATTTGTTGAGATCGTATAAGTTGATTGATTATCTAAATAAAAAAGGGGGTGACAGAAAATGTATATATGTGGAAATAGAAACATTTGATCATTACGTTTCTGACCCTTTTCCATATAAATGGAAAAATAGATGGCATCATGGGTAATGGTAGGGCTAAATAACATTTTCAACTTAATAGCAAGAGTCACTTAAGTTCTTTAACAAGTAATTACATTTGGATCAACTTAAAACACCATCGGAATGTAACTAAATGATATTATTGACACGTGGATTGTGATTTCACATTGAAATTGTGATCCTTGTAAGAGTTAAAGTGGGAGTATCGATTGCCGAGTCGTATCCAATGATCCTGGGCCTATCGTAAAATGAAAGCTTTGAATATGTTGTTGCCTTTAAAAATGTATCTATTTTCCATGTATGCTACTAGAATTTGTGCACATACCTTATAACGATCGATAATGGCAAAGGAAAATCCTCTAATTCTTCGTCATAATTTCTCCTTCGACGTCCGCCATTTTTTATTAAACCGGAAGTTTTTCTCTGACGTCCGCGCAATGTTTTTTCACTTTTATTTCAGATTACGCTTCGGATTCAACATTTAATGCTTTCTAATATTAATTAAGTGTTTTCTATCAGAAAGATTTCATAAAAAGACTCACACTATCAGAGATTTATCGATTCGAGCAGCCAGAAAGATTAGTTTCAATTTCACCCGCTAGGTGTTTCGACGTCGACTTGGAAAGAATTTGAAAAATCTATGAGTGGGACTCCTTGTATGGAATTGTAGATTCTAAACGATTTGCCAGTTCAACTGGTTGATGAATATTGCCATATTATGCATACATTTTTATAAAATAGGAATAAGGAAGAAGATGTTGGACCAAACTTCACCCCGATAGCTCAGAAAAGGTAGAATTTCTCCATTTTTCTCTCCACAGACCTTAGAGCCGCTTTAATGAACGTTTAAAGGTTTTTCAACATTGTGTCAATGGGAATTTAGCCCGGCCATTTTCAGAAAACTTGAAAATCTCTAGAATTTGAATAAAGGTAAATAACAGTGCAAATCAAAGTTGTTCTGATGAAAAATTACACACAGAATCATGAATAAAAATATGCCATCAAAAAGGATGGCATATTTATTGGTTAAAATCTCATTAAAAACGAGACTTTAACGAGATTTCAAAGCTATTTGCTTGGAAAAGCCTTTTCATGGAGCGAAAAAGAACAGCAGAAAACAATATTGCAGGACAAGAATACATAGAGGCAGAGGAACCTAATAGTATAATTAACAGATGGCTCCATAAGGGACAACATCAGCGCATAGGGTGGTGGAACTTGGAAAAACAACAGAAGAAAATTAGAAAAAATGGGGAGAAACTTAATTTTGCGCAGAAACAGGGGCAATGGACAACCAACAATGTGAAAGAGAATGAGAAAGTTATCATCTTGACCGACTCATTATGCATAGTATCAAAGGTGGAGACAGGTACTGTAACAGACACGTGGCACAATATCAGGTTGGACAGAAAGCAAGCGTCACATTAGTATACATCCAAGGCCACCATTGCATCATAATGAGGTTGTGGACAAGCTTGCGGGCACATCAGTTCCAACAGAGAACATCAAGTGCCAGCAATATAAAGTGCAGAATAGTGGCCTCTACAATAGGAAAGGAGTGCATCCAGGAAAAAATGATGTACACAACTCATCGAGAAAGGAAGGAAGCGTGATGGTGGAGCCAAGTTAGAAGGAAAGAGGTAAGAATTATATACAGCAGGAATTTGGCCTAATATCCAAATCTACCCAATAATACGTGCTGCTAAGAGGATGGTCAGAGTGGAGACCACGAAATTGGAAATAATAGGAAGTATGTTTAACAATTTGATTATACGAGTATGACAATGGCACGGCTGAAATTCTTTTAAAGCAGATTACTATATCCTCTCATATGAAGTTTGAATTGTTTTAATTTTGTGGGACTAGTTCCGAAATTATAATTCATAATAAATTAAATAATCAGGGCAACTAGCAATATCATTGATTACAGTTTGCTGTAAATACTTCATCTTACCTAGCCTTTCCTGGGCTGCCACTATGCCAACACATAGCGCGAGGAGTCCCAACATGGCCGTATTAGTTCCAGTGGCAGTTGGCGAATAGAACCATATTGCAAGTCTATGTCCTAGCCGAAGGCAGCCAGGTGTTCTTTCTCAACCTTGGTAAATTAATATGGACCAATATTGTTAGCAACGTTCATTTTTGACACACCTTCATCCGTAAATAGATTATTGTCACAAACTTTATCAACTACAAGTCAGTACAAGATTCAGTTGTACTTGGGAATGCAACTTTCGATTAGATTTTAACTTTATCTGTTTTTTAGGTGTATTAGCACATTCAAAAATGTAAGAATATTTTTCAAATTAAAGAGAGTCCTCTAGCTAACTAATCAAAATTGAGTGTTCAGCAATGTTTTTAATTAAACTTATTAATCCTGACTTTCTGTAACATGTTAAACATCGATGTAAACTACGTGTAATATATTGGGAGTTTGAAACCCCTTTTAAAGAGGGACATGGGGTATAAATAGGAGGCAGACTAATGGAACAGCCAAAATAACTGGATTTTTAATATTTTCACAAAGCTGGTCAATTTTCTCAAATTTCATAATTGATAAAATGTATTGCTTCCAATTTTGCCATGTACATATTTCAATGTTTTGATGTTCATATTTTGCAGTTAGATTTTAACTTCATCATTTTGTTGGGTTGTGATAAGGCATTTAAAAACAGAAATAACATTTTTCAAATTTTAAAGTCCTCAAGCTTAGCCAATCAAAATCAAGTATTAATCAATGCTGTTAATTAAACTCACTAATCCTGACTTCTGTACCGTGTTAAAGTGTGGATGTAACCTGATATTTTAATGGGAGTTGCTAGCAACTTTAAAACCGGCCTTTAAGAAAATGTCCGAACAAATACACCTTGGAGAATCAAGTCGAAGACACAAACGCGGACTGCGACTCACGTGTAGTTCAAAACGAGGCTACGCAATGTTGCTGTAAAATGGCTCTTAGGCCGAACTTATTAGTTAGTATGTTAAAGATTTGGGATAAATCATTCCTTTGGATAAACTAAGCAAGAACAGTACCACGCGGTCCTAACTTCGACCGTTAATTTGAATTTTTGACCTACCGGATGTTTGAAAATCAAGGATTACGAGTCTCATACAGCACCGTTTTTCTTCAAACTTGTTCCATTTAAAGCATAACAAAAATCCCTTTCTGATGGTACATTATTCTCTTAAACAGTTCCTACTTCCAGCGGCATTTTGGTCCCCAGCTGTAAGAAGGCCTTCTGGCAGCTGGGGACCAAAACACTGCTAGAACAAGGGACTCTTTACAATAAAGTAATGCACCGACAGAAAGGCAATTTTGTTTTGCTTTTAATGGTATAAGTTTGAAGAAAAACGGTGCAGTATGAGACTCGCAATTCTTGATTTTCAAGCATCTGGTAGGTCAAAAATTCAAATTAGCGGTCGAAGTTAGGACCGCGTGAGTACAGGTATGTCCCATTCAGTGATCAATATCCATACACTCCACCTGCAATAACATTTTTGTTGCTCAGATGTTCAATAGTTTAGCACGAACATACACTGGCATGTAGCGGCCCTGATATCGATAAATTCTACACGCAATATAACCCGATTTTAGATGCTTGGTTAAAACTTTACACGAAAAAGCCTCGATATCCGGGCATTTACTCTTACACTGAACTGAAAATAGCATCGTCTAAACGTGTATGTCTTGGCTTCCGGGTAAGTTTATCAACATTTATACTCAATTGAAAGAGCAGTCGTGCTTATATCGTGTACCAGTTTGATTGTTTTATATGTGTGTGTATTTATAATATGATAGCCTAGTAATACCGTGTCGTTAGAACAAGTGCTAGATATCGAACTGATGACCTGAAATTAGATTATTGGACTGATCGCGCATCTGATATTAGATGATTAATTTGCATTGAATCTGATATTAACTTGCAACCCAATACCATGACTTTACATTAGAATGATAATACGGCCTCATATTCTAATTCATTATACGTCCATTGCAGGCCAAAAATGTTTCAATGTGGATATTGTAATGCACACGAGAATACATTCGATTCGTATATATTGATCATACATCAATTGAACATGGAGATTTTCCTGTACACCTTAGACTAGATGCGAGTAGGAATTATCTTGATTTATCCTATGCCAAGTAGGGTTTAGGGAGATAAGTTGGTAAGATATATCCCGTATCCTGATTTTGAGGTTTCCATATCAAGAACCTCCATATCTCCCGTCACATCTCCCGCTTCGGTGCATATCTTCCCGCTTCGGGGCGTATCTTCCCGCTTCCAAAAAAGTGGAAATGCAATAAAATGACTTTGCATATGAATGATTTGTTTATTTTTTACACCTTGTACTACTGAAAACTCTACTTGGTATAGGATAAAGCAGTTATGTACGGTCGGTTTGGATATTGGGTTCATCCCTCGTGAGATATGCACATCTACTTTCTGTCCCTACGGTCCCTCAGATAATTTGCATATCTCCCTCTGGAAAAACCCCATATCCAAAACCTCCCAGTACATAACCCTTATTTATCCCATGGTTACAAGGATATAGATCGAATATCACGTGAAGATATAATTGATACGTGGATGAAGATATCATATTTTAGCAAACAATTCCCAAATCATCGAATATCACTTTTGAAACCGTCGAATATCACTTTTTGAAAGGTGATATTCGATGGTTTCAAAAGTGATATTCGATGGTTTCAAAAGTGATATACGATGGTTTTGATTTTTTCAATTTTTTTTATTAATTCAGCAAAACGATTGTTTATATATTTATTATATATTTTTATTTTTTGGGATCTTGTTTTTACGGCGTTCGCATTAAATACAAACCACTCTGTTACGTCACGTTCGTTGAATTATCGCAATCAAAATGTCAGACGAAATGGAATTTCCATTGCAATTTATCTGACTACTCAATGTTCGCTTGATAATAATTCCCAATGGGATAAACGGACAATCCTATGGTTTTTCAAAAATATCACTTATATCCACTCATGGATATCAGTATCTTCACTCATTCGCTGCGCTCCCTCGCGAAGATATCAATATCCACTCATGGATATAAGTGATATTTTTTCAGAGCCATAGGATATTCCTATATTATTCCATAGTTAGCATGATATTCATAGGATAACATGTCAAAATAAAAACGGTATTTTTGAAATCAGTGGTAAAATATGATATTTTTGGCAAATTTTCACTTCACCATAGCATACGGTGTTTTACCCATGACATACGGCGCCGTATGCCATGGTTTATGGATTTTTGCTACTTCAGACTCAAAACGAGGCTAAGTGTCAATATCGCCGTATCGTTTGGAAAATTCGTTTTAAATCACTTAAAAATTCCCGACGATTCTGATGATGACTTAAACTATGGAATATAAAGAACATCCTATGATTTACTCATGATATGATTTTAATCCACTCATGGATGTTGATATCTGCACTCTCTCGCTACGCTCACTCGTGCAGATATCATATCCATTCGTGGATAAAAATCATATCACTCATAAATCATAGGATATCCTCTATTCAAGATGTGATATTCGATAGTTTAAAAGTGATATTCGATGGTTTGTAAATTGTTTGCTAAAATATGATATCTTGATCCACATATCAAATATATCATCATGTGATATTCGATCTATATCCTCCTTGCAACCATGGGATAAAGCTTTACGTCCCGCTCCAAGCGGGCAGATATAGTATATCTGCCCGCTACGTCATAATCGCTGCTTGCATATTTGTTCATAATTTGTAACGTTCGCGGAATGACTGTAAACGGCAATGGAGAAAACACAGACAATCAGGGTCTGTTTGATAGTTAAAAAAAGGGAAAGAGCATCCACTTAATCAATAAAAAATTCGAGAAAATAAATATGGGAATATTTGAGAGAACATGAAAATCCGCCCACGGCCAAGAAAACAAAACTGGACATGAATATTCTAAAATGTTTCCACGATTTAACAATGTGAACCAGATGACCAAGATTGGTATGGGATAAACATATTATTATCCTATAGTCGCCCATATCAAAATTTACAAAGGCTTTACACCTACAATTTACACTCAGTTTATACTTACTTTACACCCAGTAAATAGGTGACCAATTTCATATGCAAATGAGCTAATTTACACTTTAATTTACACTCAGTTTACACCTTAGTATACACCCACTTTACACTTAAGTTTACATCTACTTTACATCCAGTTCGCACTTAGTTTTCACTTAAGTTTACACTCAGTTTACACTTACTTTACACCCAGTAAATAGGTGACCAATTTCACATGCAAATGAGCTAATTTACACCTAAGTTTACACTCAGTTTACACTTTAGTATATATCCAATTTACATCAAGAGCTCATTCTGATTGGTCAGATTTTAAACTTAATTTACAGTTAGTTCACATAGTTCACCTAATCCTTAATTGGCGAAATGCTAACTGCTTATCGCAGGGGGAGAGAATGCAAAGATATTCTGAATTTTGAAGCACTGTGATCAGAGAATAATATTAATGAAGATACAGGGGGTCCAAAGCGTTACGAATTGAAAAAAATTGCAAAAACAAAAATCCCATGTTAAATCGCCATGGGGATTTTCCTGGAATTTTCTGTCTAAGCGCTTTAAAAAGTATTTGTAGGAGTTATGCTATAATAGTACAAATATCACAGAATGATCAGCATTAGAGATCTATACAAGTAGTTCTGCACAGATTTTTAAATTGAAGTTTTAAACAAAAAATGCTAAAATAATTCTGTTTTGTAAAAAGTCCAAATCCGCCATCTTGAATTATGATGTCACAATGACACTTTTTTGCATATTCAATTTTTTCAAGAAAAAACTCCGTAAAATATGGGTCTGTATAATTTATTGGGCCTTGCTTCCTTCTCTTGCTTCTAGATTCTTTTACAAATAACTTTTTTATTTTCTTCATTTTTCTTAAAAGTTGCCAGTCTCCAAGGAGTTAATGAATGTATATGTCCTATGTAAAACCTATACAAATAAACTGACTCATATTGAATTGCAGCCCAGGGTATAATGCCATCATGATTCAGATTAGAATGAATTCTAGGTGAAAAGATCAAAACAAGCAGGCAAGCACAAAAGGTAGAAAGATTCAATGGATATATTGAAAAGAAATTTGAAGCTTA